AAAATCAGAATCAGCCAAATGATTTTCCAAGCTTGTAAAATTTCAATTTGGCGTTAAAACGGCCGCTTTAAAATATCTATTATTTTTGAAGCTAACAGTTCAGCGATAGTGATCAAAAAGCGTTGATGAATCCGGAATTCTGGAAATCTTTTGAGCTTTCTTTTGCGCTTTCTTTTGAGCGCAATAGATTAATCCCCTTGGCGAACTTCTTTCCAGGGTAAATCACTTCGATAATCTTTCTTTTGATCTCTCTTTCTCTCTCTCTCTTTCTCTCTCTTTCTCTCTCTTTCTCTCTCTCTCTTTCTTTTTCTTTCAATTCTTTTCCTGAACGCTTCCTTCAACTCTTTCATCTAGTTTCCAAAGAAATTCCCGTTCTAAAGAGTAAACTGAATATCTTTCAAGTTTTTTCAAGTTCTTTCAATATCTTTCAATATCTTTCAAGTTCTTTCAAGTTAGAGTATTCAATTTTGAATTCAGAACACTTGTACGTTATTGTACTGTATTATACTCCTGTATACTATAACTTTCAATCATTTTTTAACAAGACTTTAAACATTAACTTGTAAAATCTGAAACTAAAAGATAGATTTTTATTTTTTTACAAGCTGGCTGGCCTTATCTAAAGCCAAATAAAGTCGAAAATCTGTCAGATTACTTAAACTTTGTTATCATTTCATTTTTAGAACATTTTTCTACTTTATATTCCAAATTTAGGCCTAATCGGTGGGTTATAAGTAAAACTAAAGTCATTTGAAGTTATGTAAAAGTGTCTGGCAAAAATGCTTTTGTTTATAAAGATTGGAGATTAATTGAAAGCAATGAAAGCATTCAAATGAAAGCATTTAACTTTTTAGAAGAGCAGAAATGTAGAAATGTAGAAATCTGCTTCTGCAAGCTAGGCCAACCTCGAATTTTTTTGATTTAAAACATTCTAGATGGTAGTTACGATGTCTTGCGTTTATCACCAGTAGGCCTTCATGTTTATCACCAGTAGGCATTCATGTTTATCACCGTTAGCCTGGTTGAGGAATGGTGAAGCGAACAGAAAATGCTTCTTTCATTCAGATTCCCGTCGGCAAAGTCTCTTGTTTTCGGGACAAAGAAATGGGAAAGAAATGGGAACAAAATACTGAAGAAAGGCTGAAGAAAGGCTGAAAGAAGAGAAGGAGGAAGTCGGGGAACGGGGAAAGGGACGGGGACTGAGACTGGAGCAATCCCTAGGTACCCCACTCGAATTTGTCTGACTTTTATCTAGAATTTCGATGACATATAGCTTTTCTTTCAATAGCTTTTCTATGCAATAGCTTTTCTTGTGAGCTTTTTGTTATCAAAGTCTTGGAGATTAGTCAGCAATGATAGACAATGATGATAGACAGCAATGATAGACAATTTCCCCTTTACTTCGACTTTTCGGTTTACTTTGAAGATTGTTATAGTAGTAGACTGTTGTAGTAGTATTAGTATATTGTTTTTGTATATTATAGTGTTATAGTAGCCTTCAATTACCTCTCCCATCTCCTCTTTTCAACTCACCGCCAACTCTTCTCTCCTTCTTTCATTCATTCATTGTTTAACATCCTCAGATACTTCTTTCTTTCTTCCTTTCTTTCTAACTTCTTCCTTCCTTTCTTTCTTTCTTTCTCTAACTTCTTCCTTTCTTCCTTCCTTCTCTTTCTTCCTTTCTTCATGGGGAAAGAAGGTGTGCTTAGCTCAGTGATAGAGCATCTTCTGATCTTCTGCCGGTAAGCAGAAGATCGAGTTGAAGGTCGAGAGTTCAATTCCCCATTTCTTCCTTCCTTTCTTCCTTCTTTCTTTCTTCCTTTCTTCCTTCCTTTCTTTCTTCCTTCCTTTCTAACTTCTTTCTTTCTTCCTTCCGCAAATTTCTTTCAAATGAAATTATCTCAAAGATTTGATGAATCTAAGCCTTTTTTTATATCGCTATATCATCGCATCTGGGCTCCTTATTTGTATTTGTGGTTTGCCAAATTCTGTACGATTGTGTATCATTGATTGATCTCACGTTTTATCCTTTTCAGGCGAATCCCATCTTGTTTTTGTTTGTTTCAGATGTAATTTCTTCTTCAAAGTCATTTCTTCCTCTAAATCATATCATTTTAAACTTAAACCTTTCTTTGTTTAACGAAACTTTGCATCCAAAAGCTTTTCAGGTTATACAAGTACAAGATTTCCCTTTCCCCGCCCCGCTTCCCCTCACCCTCAACTTTCTACATAGCAACGATCTTTCTACATTGTACATTGAAGTGATTCTTGAAACAAGGTCATTTCATTCATATCGTTATCTTCTTGAAATCTTGAGAAACCATCCGAGTGTTGTTTTTTTTTGTGTGAAAGCACACAAAAGAGCACTTAGCATTTGAGGGGAAAAGCTAAGAGACATCGACAAATTTAATAATCGAAAGAAAAACAGCTAATGGATTCATTCATTTAACTTAAACCCCACAAAAACTGCTCTTGTTTTGCTTTTTAGGTTTAAATGACTTTAAATTAATAGCTGGCCTCTAATGAAAAGTTCTAGCTGATGTGAACAGTCTTGGCTCCTTATTTGTATTTGTGGTGTGCTAAATTCTGTACGATTGTGTGCGAAGATAGCGCACACAAAACCATTTAAGCCATTTAAAGTCATTTAAAGCCATTTAAGGCCATTTACCATTTAAACCTAAAAAGCAAAATAGAGAGGCAGTCGACGGACTCGAACCCGCCAGGTCTCGCCTTGGATTCTAGCTTACTACCACTCGGCCACCCCCGCACTCTTTGGGCGTCAGAAAAGACCGGCTTTAAAGGTCTTGCTGTCTTTAAGGGCTTGTTGTCTCTAAGGGCTTGATTTTTGAAACCTCTTACAAAACTTTAATGGCGTATAACTTTTGACAGAGTGCTATTTAGCAAAAACGAAAAGCAGATTCAGAATCAGCATGAGCTTAGGCTTAGACTTAGGCTTAGGCTAAGAGCTGAGACTAAGAGCTTAGGCTAAGAGCTTAGGCTAAGAGCTAAGGCTTAGGCTAAGAGCTAAGGCTTAGGCTAAGAGCTAAGGCTTAGGCTTAGGCTAAGAGCTAAGGCTTAGGCTAAGAGCTAAGGCTTAGGCTAAGAGCTAAGGCTTAGGCTAAGAGCTAAGGCTTAGGCTTAGACCAAGCTAGGAGCTTTTCTGAACTTTCAAAAAAGTTAAGTGCTTTCTGAACTTTCAAAATCTCATGGAAAAGCTTTCCACAGATATTAAGCCAAAAAAAACTGTGGGATGTTCATGGGAGATCCATTCAATCCATTTCATTTCCCTTTTTTTCCCATCCACTGATCGTCCATTCATTTCAATGAGAGAAAAGAGAAGAAAAAGAAGAAAAGACAACAACCGGTTCTCTTTTTGATTTCTTTTTCCTTTTTTTTCCTTTTCTTTTCCTTACTCACATACAGCAAAAGTGTCAAAAAGGGCGTAAAACTGCACCCATTTTTGGCTCCTCTTTCCCTCTCTTCCCAGTCAATTTTGATAATTTTATTTTATTAAATTAGAATATATTTCTTATATCTTTAGATTCTTCTTTATCTATTTATTATTATTTTTCTCAGATTTAAATCAGATTTAAATCAGATTACAGCTTTTTAACCCTTTGTTTTGACTCTGATCCAGTTTTTGGAATGAATGATGCTTTGATGCGAGACTTTGATGAGCCATAAATTGGCTTAGAGATAATATAATTCTAAACTTTTTACAGAGTTTTATAGAAGAGACTTTTGGCTTTTGAATGATATAAATTAAAGCCTGATTGGACTAGCCAATCCAGAGAAAATCAAGGGAAAAGAACGATGGGTTTTCTCTGGATTCCCTAGTTCAATTAAGCTACGGTTCCTATTTTGATCTAATACGGTTCCAATACGGTTCCTATTTTGATCTATTGGAACCGTTTCTATTGGATTGATCTATTGGATAATTGGTATCATTTTAAAGCTTGAAATGTCTTCTATACAACTAAATAAACAGCTAACAATAATATTATCTTTAAACAATGTTATGAGCCTTTAAAGCTTATTCTTTTTCGTCTTTATCTGTCTATTCATTGTCTTTAGAAGAGGCTTTTCTTTTCTTTTCGTACTAGAATTTAAAACCAATAAATAAACCAATTAAACGGTTTATTTTATTAAAAAATTGAAGTACTTGATGAATTTTTGATTTTTCAATTGTTTCAATTGGTTCAATTGTTTCTAATGATTGTTTTTTACAATTCTAAACTTTATAATTTACAATTTTTCAACAAAAGTACCCTAAAGTCGCGAGTATAAGTTCTGTTTGATTTTCGCATGCAAATTGACGGCTGTCTCCGGTGCGGTGTGTCGAGGGTTCGAACCCCGCTGCAGTATAACTTTTTTGCTTCTTAAGAACAATAATAGAAGTAAATTTATTGAGGGTTATAACAATTTTATGCTGTTTGTTGTTGTTGCTTTTTTTTGTTGCTCCGAGCGTGGCTCGGCGCGTCCGCCCTGCTCCTCTCCGGTGCTCAGTCTTATGAATCCCTCCCTGGCCTCTTCATCCGGCCAAAGTCCACGTCGACGGTCGAAAGAGATTTCCAATGTCTTCCAGATTTTCCAGCGTCTTCTTCAACACTACCTTCTGGATGTATCCATGCACATAACAAATAGCAATGGTGATAGGCTGTCACCCTGTAGTCACCCTGTAGTCCTGTAGGCTGTCACCCGCGCTCCAAGAACAATTATAAAAGTTTATATAACAATAAAAATGTATAAAAACCCAACAAAAAGAAATTCAAAGCAATTAAAGCGAATGTAAATTAAGGCAGAACTTGGATGAACTTAGACTCGGATCAACTTATACTCGAGACTTTAGGGTACGAAGAAAACGAAAAGATTAGAGGGTTTGGATTAAATTCATTCACAAATCTATAAAAACATTCTTTCTATTCTATAGAAAACAAAGAAAGCAATGTTTTTTTTACAATAATACTGACAATATTTATTTATATTTATTCAAATTTTAGATGAATCGCAAGATCACAGCGTGCGGCTTTCTCTATGTGGCGCCGCCAAATCTCGACTTTTCCATTCAAGCGCATACGGCAAAGGTTTTTTTTAGAAATTATTCTAGAAAAATAGATTTATTTATACGAATAATGTGGTACAAACAATACAAAAGTAATGTAGAAAAGAAAAAATCAAGATTTCTGCGAAAAAAGAGCCATAACCCAGAGAGCGGGGTTGAACCATCGATCTTCTGACTATGATACAAGGCTCTTAGCCAGTCGGCCATGGCAACAGCAAATCTAGCATGATTCTTTCGAGTTAAGTAGAGATTCCTGAAACAAAACCCCTTTTTACGAAACGCCCTTGAAAAGGCCAAAAGTGCCGGCGTCGCTTAGTGCCGTAATGGCCGAGTGGTTAAGAGTCTTGTATCCAAGTCGGGAGCTTCGATCATCCATCTGGGTTCGTCTCCGGTTCGAACCCAGCGGCTAGAAAATTTTGCTCTTTTTCCCAAATACAATCTCTGTAACATCTTTAGGGGTACTAGGGCAGGGATTGTGTATTTATTTGTGTCTTTGCTATAGTTGTGTATTTATTTGTGTCACATTCATCGTAAACTTTCGTAATCAAATTTTCAGCGCTGGCAACGCCGATGGTTTACCCTGTTCGACACCGGCGAGCTCACCTATGCACTCGATAATAACGTTTGTTTGAATCAGATTTACATTTTACATTTAGATACAATTACAAATTGCAATTAGATAATGAGATTCGATAGATTTTTTTGGTACTTTGTGCCGAAATCTGTAAAATCACCTTTCTGATGTGTTAAAATGTCGATTTCGATTTAAAATCTCGTTTTTCTCTCGGAAACAGCTAGTTTCGCAAGAAAAATGACGAATTGAGTGCACCAGAAAGATATGTTTAGAGCACTAGAGCACAAAGGACACTAGGAAAATGATTTAAATCGATTTAAGTCGATTTAAGTCGATTTAAGTAGATTTAAGTCGATTTAAGTCTAGCTTTTGCATTTCAGCCAGACACCGTCCCACAATTCGCCGTCGATATGGTGCGATGTCATCGCGTTTGCGAAGCTGACAGCATTACAGGTTAGGTCTAAACATTTACCAAATCTATAAAATCATAATAATTAGATAAGATTTGTTAAATCAATTCAAAATCCTACTAAAGACATGTGAAAACTTAAATCTAGTAACCAGCAAGTAACTAGCAAGTAACTAGTAAGTAACTAGTAAGTAACTAGTAAGTAACCTTCTATTGAACTTAACTCTCTAGTCCAAAAAGGTCCAAATCGGGTTTCAAAGTGGGTAAAAGAACCCAAAACTACCTAAAATCTACTAATTAGAAGACAAATAATACTAAAAATCTTATAAAAGACTCTAATAGAACGCCATTTCCTTGTACAGTCGCGTAGCCTAACTCTTCAGAAAATCATCTTTTTCTTAGCTTCTAGACTTTTTCCAACTAAACTTTTGATACCAAACAATACTAGATTTCAAGGGCTATCACTTGACACCATGTAGCACACTGTAGCTTAAACCCGTGCGGAGAACGGAACGTTTAAAGTTAGCCTACGCGACTGTACACCCGTCATTATAAAAAGCCGACCGAAAAGCGGAAAGAAGTTGGATGGCACTACGGAGGGGTCGAACCCGGACCATGTGCGCTGTAGACCAGCGCCCTGCCACTGCGCCACCGCGACAGTAGACTCCGGCGAGAAAAACCCGGACTTAAACGGGTTAAGGGAACAGCATTGGGTAAAATTGTTTGAAAGCCGAAAGACCCGTTTAATAGCGGGTTTTTCTAGCTAGTCCAAATCTTCACGGTGGCGCAGTCGGCAGCGCCCTGGTCTACAACCCACATGGTCCGGGTTCGAGCCCCCCTAGTGGCAATTGATTTTGAAATTTTCAATTTTTTTGCTTTAAATATATTCGACAATATATTCTAAGGTTTTCTAAAGAAGTTTTAGCTTTATCGGTTAAAACACGGCCGAGAAAAAACCCGTACAGACGGACAGATACTATATAGTAGTTTTACGGGATATTGGAACCATATTGGAACCATATTCTATTTTATATGGTTTTTAGGGTATATTATATCCATTTTATATAGTATTTACCGTATTTTACATACATTTTATTCATTTTCCAACTCCAGGCCACACCCACTCAATTCTTTTGGCTTTCCGAGCGGCCACTGATAAAATAGAGGACACCCCGCCAGTTGTCTACATGAAAGCCGATAGTACGGAAGAGATCCGATGGTGAGAATTGTGAAAATCATTTAAATCTATGAAGCCATCCCATAAATATTACTTTTCAATCTCGAATTCTCAGGTGGCAAGGCATGTTGACCCCTTTTGCGAAGGATAATGTGATTTTAAAACCGCGAAAATCGATCGAAACCCTCGAGACACCGCCTAGCTATAAAGTGGTAAGTGAAAGTGGATATTCTTCATATTCTTCTTCTTCTTCCTCTTCTCCTTCTTCTTCTCCTTCCTCTTCTTCTTTATCTTCATATTCTTCTTCTTCGTCGTCTTCTTCTTCTTCCTCTCCTTCTTCTTCTTCCCCTTCTTCTTCTTCTTCTTCTTTATCTTCATATTCTTCTTCTTCGTCTTCTTCTTCTTCTTCTTCCTCTTCTTCTTTATCTTCTTCTACTTCCTCTCCTTCTTCTTCTTCTTCCCCTTCTTCTTCTTCTTCTTTATCTTCATATTCTTCTTCTTCTTCGTCTTCTTCTTCTTCTTCTTCTTCCTCTTCTTCTTTATCTTCTTCTACTTCCTCTCCTTCTTCTTCTTCTTCTTCCTCTCCTTCTTCTTCTTCTTTATCTTCTTCTTCTTCATCTCCTTCTTCTTATCCTTCTTATTCTTCTCATTCTTCTTATTCTTTTCTTTAATTCTTTCTAATTCGTTATAATATTTGATATATTTTATGTTTTATTTTCTATATTATCTTAAATTTTAATTTATTTTATGTATTTTTATGTATTTCTTCTTTAAAATGAACTTTGTATTCAAAATTTGCAAACACACCCGTTCTGGCGCACGGAATTCTTCATTTTCTCAAAACTGGAAGAAAAAAAGAAGAATTGCGTGCACTAGAAAATGTGCGTTTACACTTTTGAGCACAAAGTACAGAAGGAATAGGTCTAATAGGTCTTGGCTTATAGGCTAATTAGGGCTAATAGGCTAATTAGCAATTAGCATGCTAATTAGTATTAGTATGCTTTTAATTAGTATGCTAATTTCTACGGTAAAGCCTCCGCAAGATCTATTGGTTTATCATTTCATTGAAATCATTCAATATCATCTAATTTCCTATCAGGAACCAGCCGCTCCACCGTCCTCAATCCTTTCTCCAAAAATGTGCTCTCCATGCAGTTCAAGAGACTCAAGTCTTGATCGATTGGATGACAGTCGATACGAGGGAACGAGACATGGAACTGGTAATCGATTTGAGAAGATACCATATCAAATACGCCATAGCCGACTGGCTAAGAGTTCTATCGCTTAGTCGGGAGCTCAAGGGTTCAATCCCGTCGACTAGATTATTGGTTTTTCCCTACATTTAAGGCTTACTAGTACCCTTACTAGTACGCCTTACTAGTACCCTTACTAGTACCCTTACCAGTACTAGAACTACCCCCAGCTATCGATTTTATCTCACTTAACAGTTGTGGATTCGGGAATTCTTCGCGTACAACCTATAGCATTAAATCTATGCTGAAGAATATGTTTTTATAAATAGGATTCTAAGTAAACGCAAGCAAAGAGAACCCAAAATATTATTTTCGATTATCTTTCTTTGTTAATTTTCTTTACCTATTAAAAAGAAGGGGAAATGAAAAGAAACAAAATATGTTTGGATTCGTTGAAATCAAAAAAGCCAAGGAATTTGCAAGCCGAGGACTCGAACCCGAGTAGAAAATAGATCGCTCGCTTGTAACCAAGCACCCTATCCGCTAGACCACCATCTCATCTCAACGACCTGCGAGAAAAGCCTTTTAAGCGAGATGCTTCAAACTTGAAAACTTCTATGCTCGTTTAAAAGACTTTTCTGGCACGTCGTCGATGTGAGCTAATGGCCTAGTGGATAAGATGCTTGTATCGAAAACGAGCTATGCATTGTTTACTCGGGTTCGAGTCTCCTCGGCGATCGGCGTCTGGCGCTCGGCGGTGGGTACTTCGTTTAGGGGTGTGCTTGTGTATTGTTTATACCTCATTCGTGTAAATAAATGCATTTAAATCCTTCTTTTTAGTGAGACGAGTCAAAAGAGACAGTGTTCTTTCGAGAGAAACCGAGAAGAAAGCCGAGCCTCAACCCGTTGCCCAAGTCGCAGCCACTCCAGTCTCAAATCCAGTGGTGCAATCTCCCATTGTTGCATCGACGAGACTCCGCGACTCCTCCGAGTCAACAGAGAGCAGCACAGCTCCACCTGGTAATTTAAAAAAGGATTGCTTACCGTAAATACTGTAATAGTACCCCACCCCCATAATGACGGTGCGGAGTGTTGCGTAGTCTAGCTTTGAACGCGTTTTTCTCGACACTGGTTTATGCTACAATGTTCGTTTTGGTTTCAAAAAATAGCCCTCAATTTCAGCTATTTTTTGATACCTATTGTAGCATTCTAGCATAAACCAGTGTCGAGAAAAACGCGTTCAAAGTTAGACTACACAACACTCCGCACCGTCATTATGGGGGTGGGGTACTATTACAGTATTTACGGTAGCCGTTTTTGCTGTCTTTGGCGTCATTATTTGCCCAATTTATGGCCTAGATTTGGCTGTTTTTGGCTGGCTGATTTCTGCTACAAATTCTAGATTCTGCCAAAAAATTGTGTCGCTTAAAAAAGTGCTTACCGTATTTTCTGTAATAGTAGTGCAGTCTGGAATAGTAGTGCAGGCTGGAGGGGGCTTGAAAAAATAGTAGTGCGCACTACTATTACAGAAAATACGGTAACTGAGAGAGTCACGTAGCCAAGTCACTCTCCTAACCAAATCCCCAAATTTCGGAAAAAGTTTCTTTTTTCATAGACATTTGAAGCCAAATTCTTTTGTTGCCTATTAAAATTAATATTTTATTTGCTGAATTTGCAAAATGATGTCATTTTTCAGCCCCGCCAACCTCTCAACCGCCTTCTTTGATGGCTGAATCGATCAACTCGCGGAAATTCCAGCCGCTTCCCATTGACACCTCACTCACGCACACTCTGAGAAAGGTTTCTTATCCGATATTTTAAAAGAATAGATTTTTGGATAATCATATAACTAAATTTCAATATCGAAACAAATTTAGGGTTGGTTGATGCTGAGGGGCAAGTCGGACAACGATTGGCACAAACATTGGGTGGTGCTGGCCGGATTATCGCTTAGACTATACAAGTGAGCTTTTTAATAATAAAGCTAGAGGTTAGTGTTAGATGTTAAATGTTCAATGTTAGTTGTTAGATGTTATGTTAATGTTAGATGTTAAATGTTAAATGTTAAATGTTAGATGTTAAATGTTAGATGTTAAATGTTAAATGTTAAATGTTAGATGTTAAATGTTGGATGTTAGATCTTAAATGTTAGATGTTAGATGTTAGATGTTCAATGTTAGATGTTAAATGTTAGATGTTCAATGTTAGATGTTAAATGTTAGATGTTAAATGTTAGATGTTAAATGTTAAATGTTCAATGTTAGATGTTAAATGTTAGATGTTAAATGTTGATGTTAGATGTTAGATGTTAAATGTTAAATGTTAGATATTCGTTAGATGTTAGATGTTCAATGCAAGTTTTCATATCAAAATTTTAATTTTAGAGACGTTTGGGGAGAGGATTCGACCGAGCCATTGCTATCGATTGATCTGGCCGAATGCGAGAACGTCTACCCAAGTGCGTCGGCGAGGAATTACGGGATTGAGATAAAGGTGGGGAAATATTTTTGCGCTTAACTTCCAATTTCTACCCAGATTGGTCGGTTATAAGAAAAATTAGGGCCATTAGAAGCTCCATAAGAAAAAGCGCCTGGCACGAAGATGCTTTTGGTCATAAAAATTGTTTAAAATGAAGGCTCTGAAGTTTTCAGTGATTTTAAATTAGTTATCAGTGTTTTAAAAAGGTAATTAAATTAGAATGATTACTTTTTGCTTTGCTTTTGGCCAAATGTTAGTTTTGAACCTAACAACCTAATGGTTCTTAGATTAGGTAATATATTATATTAGATAATAGATTAAATTAGATATTAGATAATAGATTAAATTAGATATTAGATAATAGATTAAATTAGATATTAGATTAAATTAGATATTAGATATTAGATATTAGATAATAATATAGCTTTTGTTTAGAAAAGTCTAATTCAATTGCCGTATTAAATATGTTTTATGGAAAATACGAAAAAGTGTACCAACTTTCAAGTTGCTAATCTAATGGATTAAGATTAGATTAAGCCAAGCATTTTCAAAGGATCAGATTCATTCTTGCATTTTGTACCAGGCCGGAATCGTTGCAGAACATGATCAGAAACAGATCCAGTACAGATCCAAAATAACATTTTGAATCTAGTATCTAGCTGTAGGCACTAGTTCCTTATTAGACACCAGACTCAAACAGATCTAATACTAGATTTCCAGAGTTATTGTTAGAAGTTGTTAGAGTTGTTAGAAGATAGAATACCATGATCGGCTAATTCTATTGTAAGCTAATACAAGATAGATGCAATTTTCACCTATCCAAGAAAATTTTACGAATTTAGTGCAAACGAACGCGCTACGTGCTCTCAGCAATGACACCTGGTATCAGAGACTCGTGGATTTCAGCTCTACAACAGGTTTAATTAATCAAGATATGATCAAAATGATAATAATGATAAAAATCAATTAATCAAAACCATTAAAAATGAAATAAACCTTAGCACTCTAAAAATAAGCCTTAGCACTAGTACTATAAAACAATTGTCATCTAGTTCTTTGATACTTTTTGTACCACTGCTTTATTTAGTACAGAATTAAACTGAAATTCAGTGCTCTGACAAACGCCACCTTTCTGGCAGACTCTAAATTTTGCTGTTAATTCAAATTTACATATGAGCCTAAATGTGCATTTGTTAGAACATAAAGTATTTGTGGGGTCCAGGCTTAGATTTTTAAATCTATACAGAAACTTGTTAAAGTCTATAGTTTTTAAAGCTTATATGGTGATAGAAATATATTTTCGATTTAGAATCTCCACGATCCATCTCCATTATATCAAGATACAACGGGTGGAAGTGATGCCATTTCGTTGGCCGACAGCTCAGATGTCCTCGGAATGCCTGTGGTAGGGAGATGTTTCAAGAAAAAAACTGAATCACATTTTCCAGAGAAAGAAACATATTGCTTATGTGGCGCCTGAATCTCATCACTCGAATTCGATGATGGATGAGGAAAGTAGTACAGAGGATGAATTGCAAAGGATTGGAGAACAAAGGAGAACGAGAAGGGATTCGAATAGGTGATTTTGAGGCTAAAACTCCTCGAAACCGTTTGCTAAAACGTGTCAAAAGTCGAAAACTACCGTTATCTTGTTTCTAATTTTGTCAAAGCTATCGACTTTTGGTATACTTAGTTTGTGATAATATATTAAATTAGGTAATAGAACTGCCCTGCTCCATTCGTGAGCAGGGCAGTTTTTAGAGCCTGTTAACCAGATCCAAATCTGGCACAAAGCCTTTAGGCTTTGAGCCAACTAGGTCAAGCAAAGCTAGGAGCCAGGTCAGACCTGAAAAATTGGCTTTGCTGATCTGACCTGAAACCCTGAAAAGATAGATTTGAGACTTGGCTTCATTGCTGATCTGGCCGGGCCCTGTCCCAAAAATTATCCACTAGATACCTGAAAAGCAAAGAAATACAATAACTCCTAACATTTTATCAATTAAGATCCCTTTCCTCGTGCTCTTCCCGATCTCGTCAAATAAACAATCGTGGCTCTTTGTCTCCATCTATACGACGATCACCAATTGGAAGGATCAAAGAGAGATCACAAGAGGGACGAGTCAGGTAAAAGAAATGTTTTGAAATGAAAATTTGCATTTAACAAATAGCTTTTATTATTAATATAAAGAAATAATAAAATCTTACTGATAAATTAGATTGATTTTTATTGAAGATAAGCCAATAATCATTTCCATTTAGAAATGCATCCAATTCCTCATTGGCCTCATCGAACACAAGTGCAAAGAATCGGCGACGAGTACCGGTTGGTAAACTTTTGAAAAACCACATCTAATAGACATTTCTCGTACTTTGTGCTCTAGTTTAAACCCACCCTTTCTCTTGTTTCATCAAGAAAAACGGAGATTTTCGTGCACCAGAAAGGCACACATTTTGAGTACATTACTGCTTTCTATAAGTTGATCAAAAATTTCCATTCTTTATCCTTATTTATTTATTCTTTATCTTATCTTTACTCTTCTTTATCTTATCTTTACTCTTCTTTCTTATTTTCCTCTTTTCAACGAGATCTTGAAAGTTGACGATTTGCCGAAATTCCCCCAGCTGTTCTCGCATCTGGCTCAAATCATCGGGAAACGAAAAAAGTTTTCGCACAAAAAAAGCAATAAGAATACCCAATGGATTATTGCTTTTTCGGGTATTTTGTTTACTCATAGCTTTACCATTGAATATTTTTGGATTAAAGGCTTTACCCATCCTACAAAGCTGAATCACTTTCAGTGAAAATTTCAGCCTAAAGCATAGCTATTATTTGAATCGATTATCAATTGCTTCGCCTTTCTAATCAGAGCAATTCTATGCCAATGAATGTTAAGCTTTCCCTTCCGCTTCATTGACTTTACACTCAAATTCTCATTAGAAAGTTTCGAGGTCAATCAAAGACACTTCATTCTCTTAAAACGGCGAGCTTTGTTTAAGGTTTTGACTTTTATCGATATTTTGTTTTGGTTGAGTTGATTAATTTTGAACTTACGATGAGTAACCATGCAGGGTAACCAGAAATAACTCGAACAAACCTTTTTGACTCGATCTTCACATGGATTAAATAAAACCTTTACCTTTAATACCTTTAAAAATCGTTAATTAGACACTCTTAGTAACTTAAATCGAAAAGATTTCGGTGCTAAGTTGTATCAGTAAGTTCTAGGAGTTGAAAGAAACCCTCTGACACCGTTGCTCTTTTTGCACAAACACGCTTCGTTCTCGACAGATTTTAAATAAAATAGCATATTTTTAACTATGAATTGCTAAATTTGAAATTATCTTTTATATAAGACCATTTTTGGCATCAGAAATTTTTCTAAAACCGTCTTGTCTTTGAATTCCGAACTCTAGGGTTTCTTTGTCTCAACGCCAGGCTTCTGTATTGTTATTTTTAAAAGCCCCTAGCATGACTGGCTCATTGGCATTTAACTTTAAGACAAGCATCGGTTCATGATCTGGCTTTTATAGTGAAACACGATCTGAGGAGCCAGAACCCAAAGCTAGGACTTGAGTTCTGATTTGTATTTTCTTGACTAGAGTCCAAGCTAAACCAAAATCAGAGTCCTGTCCTGGATTTTAAAAACTTTAAGCTAAAAGATTAGGATCAGTTGGCTTTTTGGCTTTTTGGCAGATCAGTTGACTTCACATCAATTCAGCCCTTGTCAGACCAAAGCAGCTTTTGAACTAGCCAGCAAGAAAAAAAAAACCGGAACCAGTCTAAACCAAATCCAAGTTCTACATAGCTTTTGTCCAATACGTTTAAAAATCTATTCAATCAATATTTTATTCAATGGCAAAAAGTGGAGCATTTACTTGGGGATTTGATTCTTTTTTCTGCAGATTTGATTCTTTCTCTTTCTTTCTCTTTCTCTTTCTCTTTCTCTTGATTCTTTATTTCTCCTAGTTTTATCGGATTTGGGTCAAGCGGTGAGTATGAATGGACGAGTAAATCGATCACTTTCTGGCTTTTCCTACAACTTTTTTTTACCCTTTTTACTTTTCATCCAAAACTTTCCCAAACATATCTATTCAGTTTTCTTCTATCAAAAATCCGTTTATTTGTCTTTACACCCCATAAAGATTGCCTAGATTTTATTGGGAGTGGTCGTAAAAAGGAAAAAAGATCCGAAATTTCTCTTTTATTCAAAGCAATCATTTCAACAACTAATAAGTGACTTTTTAATCGTACAATTAGATTATTCATTTACATTAATCTTAAATTATTTATTTAAAAGTTTAAACAAATTAAACTCGAGTTTTGATTGATGGACTTAATAAAATGAATGTCTTCAATCGATTGCCCGATCCCGAAAACCCTCGGGTGCAGATTTACAGCCAAATATCGTCTTTTTGAGCTATCTACACAAAGCAAGAGAAATCTCTAGAAGTGTCCTTTTTGCGTTCTATGTACTGCCGCGTAATCGCTCTTGATCTGGCACACGCTCCTGATAGATAGGTGTTTCCTTTATACGTGCCGTTTCCCTAATTAAATCCCTATTTAATCACTGGCTGGTGTTCTTTGTGAGGTTATTAGTTTGAGAACAATTTGAGCTGACTCGAGAGTTTTTTCTTCGGCTTCTTTTAGAATGGGATACTATTAATATCTTGTGGGTTCTTTATTTTCGAATTTTCCTAGAATCCGATTTCACCAGCCTTGAAAATCAGGCGGAACTAGGCTCAAAAAAGCGTGCGAAAATAGGCACATGTGCCATTGGAGGGAAACTTTTTTCCAAAAAGACAAAAATCTGGTCCACTTTTTGTCGTGAACAGATCTGAAGAGGAAAAGAAAGGAAAGAGAATGGGTGTGTACACAACTCATAACATTCTCCCATCTCTTTTCCTTTCCTTTCCTTACCTTTTTATAGCCATAACCTTCTCTTTGCAAAATTCTGAGGTGAAATCTGATAAAAATCGCATCGAAAAATCTTTGTTGACACCTCTCTTTGATCTTTTTTTTAAGAAAACTTGCAACAATCCACTTTTTTTACCTTTTGAATGATAGGTTTTGGATTTGACTGATCAAATGATCACTGAGAATGACTGATCTTCTTGTACTTTAAGATTGAAAATGTAAACGTTCCCTTTCTGATGCACTTAATTTGTCAGTTTCTTTTCGTTTTCCCCTCTCCGAAAATTTTCTACTTTTTCTTTTTTCTTCACTTCACTTGATAAAGTTAGTGTCAAGTAGAAAAGAAATTTTGATTTGAAATATTCTAAAACAAAATAAAACTTAATCTACCGTAATCGTTTTCATTTATGAACCAACACCTATCAGTCTTTTAGTTAAAGCTAAACACTGATAATTTTTGGTTAAGTGATTTTCTACTAGCCGTCTATGTGACTTTTTATTAAAAATTTACATTTAAAACTAACATAAGTAATAGATTTTCTTCATCTAAAAGTACCGTTTTTCAATCATTTTCTTCTCATTTTTTTTTGCTTTCAAATTTTCGAATTCTTGATCAACTTATAGAAAATAATCAAATTTTGTGATGCCGAGAATGGATGTGAATAGAAATTATGTCTACAATTTCCCTGTAAGTCATTTTTTTGTTTTTTTAGCGAGCTTCTCCAAAACAGAGTGTTTCTGCTGAGATGAGAATTCGATCGTTGGAGGCTCAGGTTTTGAAAGAAATTTGTTTGCTATTGGGTTGGTGAATTGAAAACTGCGGGCTATTGTCTTAGGTAACAGTTTGAGCACTTTCTTCAAAAGAAACCCATTTTGGTGTCAATGGAAAAGTTGTAGAGAATCAAAAATCAAGCTTATATCCAAATTTTCAGAACGATTCAAAAACTGGTTTTCAAGAAATGCGAAATTTACGAATTTTCACAAAACTTGCATTTCACAAAACATTTTAAGCGAAACTACTAAGTGTATCTTTTTGGAAATTTGGCTATAAGCCTAATTTTTGATTCTCTACAACTTTTCTATTGACACCAAAATGGATTTCTTTTGAAGAAAGTACTCAAACTGGGACTCCAGATCTCAATCTCCAGTCCTCCATTTTTGAGTCTCACACTTGTCTCACACACAAACCAAAATCCTACCGCGAAAGAGGAAACCGCAAATTGCCTGTAAAATGGGCAGAAGTCGTCAATAATAATGGAAATTATTTGGAATCAATTGATGGTTTTATATTGAATAAATTTTAGTTCAAAGTCCCGCAGTTTTTCATTCACCAACCTAATATAAAAGAAAAGAAAGAAAATATATTCAGTTCCATTTTTCAGTTTTCAAGCATTAATATTCAATAGAATAAATTTCTTTTGATTAGGTGTCTTCTCTGCGTGAACAACTCCAAGAGACTTCATCAAGATTGACGGAGAGTCGATCGGAGAGTGACAGATTGAGACATATGTTCACTGGAGTTGATGTAAGTGCAAGAGACTTTGAAAAGTGAAAATTTATGCCTTACCAGGGCTTGTAGAAGGCTCAGCTTAAAGCGTAGTGTACTTTTGTACTCTTTGTACTTTGTACACTTTTAAACACATCCTTTCAAGCGCACTGAACACTTTTCTCTCGACATCAGATTATTTGCTATAAGAATTTATGAATTTCTGACAAATTCTTCACTTTCTCGAGAAAACAAGTCATTCTGCTAGAGAAACGAAGAACTCAGTGCACTAAAAAGAGTGTGTTTAAAAATTTGAGCACAAAGTACAGGTTAAATGTCTTACAAATAGTACAGAAAGGTTTTGAAGTGGAAAAAAGCTAAGACAAGTCAAAGCTAGATTGTCTAGTTCAGATTTCCTTATCCAGTAGCTTGCTCTGTATGAAAAGGCCAATAATCCAACCCTAGTCTAGATAAAAAAGCTAGTTAAAAACCTTATCTAGGCTGAATTTGAATAGAAATCATGATAGATACCGTAAATCTACTATATCTGTCTGTCTGGCATTTTCTCGACCGTGTTTTAACCAATAAAGCTAAAACCTCATTAGAAAACTTTAGAATATATTGTAGTTATGGAATTTAAAATACAAAACTAAAAACTCATGATTGAGCGCCACTACCGGCGGTCGAACCCGGACCGCATGGATTTTAGACAAGCGCGCTGCCGACTGCGCCACGGCGACACAAGCGTCGAGACCAGAAAATCCGCTTTTAACCGGCTTTTTCGGCTTTTCGGCCTCCTTAATGACGAGCGTACAGTCGCGTAGTCTAACTTTGAACGTTCCGTTCTCCGCGCTGGTTTAAGCTACAGTGTGCTACATGGTGTCAAATGATAGCCCTTGAAATCTAGTATTTTTTGGTAACAAAAGTTTAGTTGGAAAAAGTCTAGAAGCTGAGAAAAAGATGATTTTCTGAAAAAGAATTAGACTACACGACTGTACAAGGAAATGGCGTTCTATTAGAGTATTTACGGTACTATAGTAATCAAAGCATCTAAAATTTCAGCCAGCCAACCTCTCAGCTCTCAGAAAATCGCTCTCAGCAGCCGAATCGGAGATCACGAGACAACAAAAGGAAATGGAAACTTTGAGAAAACAATTCTCTTCACCGACATCAGAACAATTGTAAATATTAAGATTGAAATCGATTTTAGAATCTTTAATTAAACATTTAATCAAATTTTTTAGGATTTCCTGTTTCCAAGATCGTCTAATTTCGATGCTCAAAGTGCAAATGGGCGCTTTGTCAAAGTTCAATATTTTCCTTGGTATGTTGGAAAAAGATAAGATGGGAAAAGATTCAGCATAAGGCTTTGAATTAACACAAAAGTCTTGGCCTAGTGTACTTTGTGCTTATTCGTCTAAACACAACTTTCCTGGCGCACTGAAATATTCATTTTTCTCTAAACACTGAAGTATCACAAGAGAATGAGGAATTCAGTGCACTAGAAAGCTGTAGCTGTAGAAAAGCGTAAGCTGTAGTGTAAGTGCTGTAGAAAAGCACCAGAAAGTACCGTTTTTAACACAAAATACACGTCAAAGCCATTTCCATATGTTTATTTTATATTCCAGGAAACAATGGCGATGTTCGTGATGAATTGGACGAGTTGATGACGTCACTTTCGAATATCGATCACACCAATAAAGGAACAGCATTGGGTAAATTTATTTGAGTGGAAAAACCTGTTTAAAAATCGGGTTGGTCGGACTCGGAGTCGAACCCGGACCGTGTGGACGTAGACCAGCGCGCTCCCTACTGCACCACGACCACGAAAAAACCTGGCGAGAAAAAACGGGTTAAACGGGTTAAGAGAACAGCATGAGGTAAAATTGCTTGAAAGCCGAATAACCTGGTTAACGGCACATTTTTCTAGCTTAGCTTTGTCGTGATCGTAGTGCAGTCGGAAGCGCGCTGGTCTAGAGCCCACACGGTCCGGTTTCGACCCACCGCAGCGCCATTCAATTTCGATTTTTTGATTTTTCTTCATTTTCAAGCTTTAGGTGATGACGATTGGGATTGTTTACAACGAATCATTGAGGAGACAACGCTTCTCTACGATAATGTGGCTAATAGTGTGAGAAGAAGGAGAACAAAAGAGGCTACAACTAATACGGTAAAATATAGATCCCGTTTAACTTTGATTTAAAATTGGTGAATGATAATAGGAGGTATTTCCCTCTCTTTCTTCCTTGTCTTACGTATTTCTTCTCGATCAAAGAAAGCCCTGATAGCTTAGTGGTAAAGTGTTTGGCGGGTAGGCGGAAGATGAAGGTCGAGGGTTCGATTCCCCATGGTTCCAAATTCTTTGTCATTCGTTTTTTGGCTTTATTTTAGTGCTCTTGGCATTATTGACTATAGTTTGAGCTAATTTGAGCCTAAATTCTGCAAATGTAAAGTGAAAAAGAGAGAAGAAGAAAGGGTTTTCGATTTCCCCATTTAAATGACTTTGAATGACTGATTTCAAGGATTTTTCTAGAGTCTCAGTTATTCTAATCGGAATTTTAACCTCAAAACTTTACTGGTTATACTAGTTATACTAGTTTGATCGCTTTTAGGAAGACGCATGGATCTCTTCGGAAGAAGAAGAAGGAGTTTCGGATGAAGATGATGATATTAAACAAGAACATGAATGGGAAGCTGAATTGACGGCTGTTAAGGTGAATTTCTTGACTTTTCGCTGTCAATTTCGCTGTCAATTTAAATAGCTTTTGTATCAATCGACAGAGAAAGACTTGACGCATCCAATGATATTAAAAACATTTAAATTGAACAACTCAACACCAAGATATTTAAGTTCAAAGTTTTGCCAATTTGTCAATGGCAAAATGGGTGTTTCAGATGTCCCACAGAGGCTTTTAATGTCAAAAAGTGATCATTTCAATTCAACTTTGTTCCAGAACACTCATCAAGGCGAGATCGAATCACTGAGAATGCACTATGAACATCAATTGAAAGGCGTTAGAGAAAGGATGGAACATGAAGAGATGGGAAGAAGAAGGGCACAGGATGAGCTCAAGAATTTGTCGGTGAGTTGACAGTTAAGAGTTTAGCTGACAGTTTAGCTAAACTTAACTAAACTTAGCTAAACTTACAGCTAATAAACTCGTGTAGATGTCGTAGCCGATTATGAATGCGTGGGTATAGGAGCGTCCAACCATCAAGTATTTAGTATCATTCAACGCAGAATCATTGATAATTATGTTAAATTTTTTAAATTAGAAAGATTGGATAAAAAGAACACAAATTATGGGGCTTCAAAGTTTTCTCTTTGAACAAACAGTTTTTTGTTCTAATTTTTTTTCTTTTGATCAAATCTTGCTAATTCTAAAAATTTAACATAATTATCAATGATTCTGCGTTCAATGATACTAAATACTTAATGGTTGGGCGCTCCTAGACCTAGACCTAGACCTGGACCTAGACCTAGACCTGGACCTAGACCTAGAACTGGATCTAGACCTAGACCTAGACCTAGACCTGGATCTAGACCTAGACCTAGACCTGGACCTAGACCTAGATCTAGACCTAGACCTGGACCTAGACCTAGACCTGGATCTAGACGTAGACCTAGACCTAGACCTGGATCTAGACCTAGACCTAGACCTGGACCTAGACCTAGACCTGGATCTAGACCTAGACCTAGACCTGGATCTAGACCTAGACCTAGACCTGGATCTAGACCTAGACCTGGATCTAGACCTAGACCTAGACCTGGATCTAGACCTAGACCTAGACTAGACCCACTCATTCATAATCGGCTACGAGGGTCCCGCCGATTTTTAATGAAACGTTGTAGCGCCGGCAATTTTTAACCTAAACTCACAAATTTGGTACCAATCGACGCAGAATTGAATTCGCTACAAGATGATATAATATTGTCCTCATACATTAAAGGGTTGCTCTACTAGAAAGATTTGCCAAAAAATTTCATTCATAATCGGTTACGATATATATAAGTAAAGTTGTTATCGATTTTGTCAACAAATATCAATTCGTTGTTTTTCAGTCGATGAACGATCAATCTCTAAACTCTGTGCGCAATTCATATGAAGAGCTGCTCGAAGAGCAAAGACGACAATTCGATGATGAAATTGAAAGATATCGAACGGAACACGCGAAAGAGTTAGCTGACGAGAAACAGGCGACAAGGTTGGTGAAAAGAACTTTAGTAAAACTCCGATAGATTGACAAATGACGACCTGTCGACCGTGACGACCATACTATAAACGATTTTAACTTGCTTCAAATCTGTTTTATTGTCATGATCTATAGCTCAAAAGATAGAGAATCTCAAGAGCTTTCGAATGGACTAAAGGGCACCAGCTTTTGAATTTTTGAAAACACCAGCACGGGTATTTTGAAAGAATCCGGGTCTTTTAAAAAAATCCGGGTTTCTCAACGGCTCGTCACGCTTTGAAAGCCTATAACTTTGTCCAGAGATCATCTTTTTGTCAACTTTTTATATCATTGGAAAGAGGATATTTCAGACTTTCAAATGATACCAAATAGAGCTTGATTGGATAATCCAGTCCAAAAAAAATCAAAGCCAACTCTGAGCAAATGAAACCTATCCTACTCGGGTGTCGTGTCGCCTTGTTTGCATGGGAATGAAAAGTCCAATCAAGCTCTATTTGGTATCATTTGAAAGTCTGAAATGTCCTCTTTCCAATGATATAAAAAGTTAGCAAAAATATGCTCTCTAGACAAAGTTATAGGCCTTCAAAGTGTGACGAGCCGTTGAAAAACCCGGATTTTTTTAAAAGACCCGGATTCTTTCAAAATGAAGCAAGTTAAAAGCGTTTTCAGTTTACGTTTATAGCTTATCAAAATAGATAACGAATAGGTGCAAATTATAGACGCTAAAATGTTTAGAGTGGCTCTGGAAGCGGTGAGAAGAGCGCACGAGGAGGAGATCCGACAAATCGGAGAGAAACCCCGACCAAGTGTCAATCCAGATGCACAACGGGAAAGAGAACAAAGACAAGGGTCAGTGAAAATGAAGAATTCAGAATTCAGTGCAATAGAAAGCCTGTGTTTTACCGTAATCCTAATTTGCTCTATTCAGAAAAATGATCGAACAAATGCGAGACGAGTTGACGAATCTCTCAGCGCTCTACTCGGCGAAATGCATCGAAAACGCGCAACTCGACGAGAGAATCGGCGCGATTCTTGAGGGAAAAGAACGGTTTGTGGAAACGATTGAGAAGATCTATTGAATAAGCTCTAGATTTATCTATTGGATCTTAAGCTCCATATTTTGTGGATCAATCAGATTCCTAGATAACCTAGATTTATCGTGTCGCTTAGATTTCTAGAAAACCTATTGCAACCGCCTACAAAAGGCTCAAATCGATGCACTGCTCCAATACCAATTTCGTTAACTTTAATTGATTCCAGCGCTTAAACAACAATCCTATTTACTGTTAGATTCATCCTAGTAAACAGCATTGTTCTGGACTGGCTTTGCTTTACTGTAAGCCTGACTTCACTACAGGCTTTGTTCGCACTAGGATATAAAGGATCTTTCAGTCTCTAAGCCTAAGAAAGACGAGCTTTCAGGGCTCTTTCTTGGCCTGATTACAGCAGGATCTAGGTCAGTCAAAAGCCTTACAGATTGGAACAATCTTGCCACTAACTATTAGTACAAGCCTCTAGAGTTAAGAGTCAGGATCAGTGCTTTAGCCAAGCCCGGACTGGAGTCGGAGTCTGTAGCAACAGCTACAGTAGCCAAGGACAGCTACAGTATCCCAATAGCAGTTTGCAGCGCTACAGTAACCCTAGGGAAACTACAGTACTTTATAAAGCTGCTAGCGTACCCCCTGAGAAGCTACAGTAACCTTACAGCCTGTGGAACAGTTACAGTATCCCTCAAATGGCTATAGTACCTACAACAAGCCTACAGAGGCTACCGTAACCCTAGGAAAGTTACAGTAACCCTAGGACGGCTACAGTACTCCAGTACTCCGTTAGAAGCTACAGTAACCCTAAGACAGTTACAGTAATTCCTAGAACAGTTACGATAACCCTAGGACAGTTACGGTAGTCCCTGCAACAGCTACAGTATTCTGGTACTTCGTTAGAAGCTACAGTAACTCTAGGTCAATTACAGCAATCTCTAGAACAGTTACAATAACCCTGGGACAGTTACAGTAATCCTAGGACAGCTAGAGTAATCCTAGGGCAGTTACAGTAATCCTAGGACAGCTACAGTAACCCTAGAGACAGCTACAGTAACAGCTACAGTAACGCAAACCAGAAAGCGCTAGCTACAGTACCCCAACAGCCAATAATCCCAGATCAGCTACAGTATCATCCACAGTACTAGACTAGTTGTCAGACCCATGAGAATCTAATGCCAATGGAATCTAGTGCCTTTATTCGAAGACTATACTTGTGAGTCTTTTTCCGGTCAGTTTCAAATGCAAATTAGAGATTTGGCTGGGAAAAGTGGCACATTTACTTGAAATTTTTCTTGAAATCTTAGATTTTTTCCATAGTTTTTGCATAGTTTTTTGAATTTCAGTGAAACAAAGGAGGAAACGGAGCGTCTCCGTGCCGAGCTTTCTCTCAAAGAGACCCAAATCGAAGAGCTTCGACGCCGAATCGCGCATTTAGAGAGAAAGCTCAACGATGAAGGGCAAATATCTTCAGGTTTTCAATGTTAAATCAAAATTTCGAAAATTCATTTTTGTTTAAACTAAACAAATCTCTTTGGTTTTTTTTTTTTTCTTTTCTTATTTTCGAATTGCAGAACGAAAACGATCGATTTCGCGGTGAGTTTTCTGATTTGTAATGAGAGATTTTCCCCTGTTTTCTTCCCCAAAAAACAACAATCCCTTTGTTTTTCGAAAGCTTTATACCATTAGCACATTTAAAACTTGAAATCAAGAGCTTTTGAGCTTTAAAAATTGGTTTAAAGCTTTGGCTTAAAGCTTTGGTATAAAGCTTTGGCCTTTTTGGCTTTTTGAACTTTTGGACTTTTTTTTGAATGATTTAACGCATGTCGAGTGGTGTGCTGGCGATTTTTTTTCATTTAAAAACAATCCCCTTTCCCTTTATAACCTCTTAAATTAGCATTTAAGCATTGTAAAGACGATTTTTTGATATCTGTATTTCTCTTTTTTTACCAGCTAAAGCGTCTAAAAACCGGTGAACTCTTGACAAAGTTTTTCATTCGAAAAGACCCCATTTTATGAAAGATATTCAATATCTAAAGCTATATTCAGTACACTAGCAAAATTGAAAGTAAAATGCAAAAGAATTGGAAAATTTTTGAATCAAAAAGCGAAAGAATTAGCGGCAAGAGGAGTCGAACCCGCGACCTCGCTCTTCCGTTCGACTGAGAGACGCGCGTGTTAGCCACTCGGCCACGCTCAACGGTCGTCGGTTGAGAGAGACCGTGGATTCGACTCCTCTTAATGGTCGGCGGTCTCAATGGTCGCCGTGGCTCAGTGCGAGCGCCCTCGCCTCTAGCCCACACAACCCGGGTTCGACTCCCGCCCGCGTCTATACTTTTAATTTTTTGAAAGTTTTAAAACAAATTGCTTAACTAAATGAAATTCTAAGGCAAACTAACTATAAGTTATTTGAAACGGTCCACTGGGGGCTGAGGAATGGACAGACAAGCTGAAGAGCGATCGACTATCGAAGACTATCGAAATACAAACCTGAGACTTTACAGTATCTTTAAATGCTAATTTTAACTTTACAGCTTCTTTAAATGCTAATTTTAAGTTTACAGCTTCTTTAAATGCTAATTTTAACTTTACAGTATCTTTAGAAAGCCACAACTCCTCTATATGGTGTACTTTGTGCTTAAATCTCTAAACTCACCCTTTCTACTGCTTCTTGTGTTCATTTTCTTTCAATTTCTTCTAGTTTTAAAGTTTTTGGTGCACTAGAAAGGATTTGTTTACAGAATTAAGCACAAAGTACACTAGAAATAACGAATTTCTCTCATCAATTAGCGTTTTTTTGGTGACCTTAAAAGTGTCACCTTTTTAAATGAATTGAGAGAAAATAAGCAGAAAAACAGAAAAAGAGAAAAAAACCGCTTTCCTTCAGCTTTCCCTTCAGCTTTTTCCTTGTTTGTTTGCTTTATTTAACCAAAATCTTTCCCTGAAATGATTTAATTTTTCAAAAAAAACTTCGAAAGTGTTTTGTGCTCAAAATTGTAAACAAAAAAAATCATTTCTTGCGCAATGAATTCGATGACTTTTTACACTTGCTTATAGAAATCTTGTAGAGAAATCAAGGAATTCAGTGCGCTAGAAAGGTGCGTTTACGAATTTAAAGCACAAAGTACACTCTGAAAAACATTTGAAATCTTTCAGACAAAGAAGAAATCAGTACGGACGCGCGCTCAGCGCCTCAACTCCAGCAAATGGCGCAACAGATAAACAGCCAAGGAATGAACGGATCACAGTCACCGGTCAAGTTTAGAAAAACGCCGACAACGAGGAGGACTGGTAAGGAAAAGACAAAAGACAAGAATACGCTGCAATCCTATTTACATTTATGAACAATTGAGAGGTTCCACGGACTGCTCTTTGTTCGGCCCGATAAACGCGCGCTAACTGGCACATTGACAAAGAGGGGTCATAAAATCTCCAGGGACTGCTCTTTGTTCGGCCCTATAATCGCGCGCTAACTGGCACACTGTCAAGGAGGGGGTTATAAAATCTCTAAAAATCTGCACGGACTGCTCTTTGTTCGACCTGATAATCGCGCGCTAGCTGGCACACTGTGAAAGAGGGGGTTATAAAATCTCCAAAAAAAAGCGAAGGTGAAAAGCGATGATTATTAACACATTCAACTCATGAAATTCTGTGATTTCAAAGTTCAATGAGCTTTTTGCTTTGATTGGAGTTGGGTAAAATAATCCTTTAAGAAAAAGTACCAGCCGAAGCCTTTAAAGCATCTTAAACAGGCTTGAAGTCATTTCAAAACCCCTAAAGCATTTTATTCTACTGTTGTTCAGTTATTACTATTTACTTTTTCATAAAAATCAATTCTTTTTCTAGAAAATTTTTTATGAAATGCTCTGTCTCATGGGAGCGCAAAGACCGGTGATCAAAAAGCCGATTTAAGCACCCAGAAACCCATGTTAATGTCAAGAGAAAGAAGATAGAGCACAAAAAGTATATAGCGAAATTTTTTGGATAATCTGGAGAATATTCGATTTCTTTATAGGAGTTTTTGTAGAATTTTGCGAAAAACTAGCTTTCACACTTGAATTTACTTGAAAACAGGCTTGAAATCGGCTTGAAATGATAGAAAAATCAACACAAAACATCGTCTATTTGGAGGAAACTGTAGTTCAATCGACTTTTGATCAATTTGAGCAATTGATTCAATGATCTTTGTCAATTGACTCAAAGATCTTGATCAATTGATTCAACGCTCTTTGTCAATTGACTCAATGCTCTTTGTCAATTGACTTACAAGGGAATCATCCAAACTCCAAACGTTTCATGGTATTTGTTTGTTTATCAAAAACGTCCTTTTTCAAAGAAATTTGTCAGTGCCGGGAGTCGAACCCACCGGGACCCGCCGGGCTGGTTTTCGAATCCGACGCACTATCCCCTAGGCCACCGCTGCTCTTCCTCCCGTCGCTTGTGACGCGGTCTTATTAGCTAGGGAGCGGTCGTGGTCCTGGTCAAAAATTGTTGGAAACTTTATTTTTCTCATCTTTTTTCCCATTTTTCTCACCAGGATTTTAATTTGAGTAAAAACTGAATAGATATTTGAAATGCCCACTGGCGTTTGTCCTCCAAACTTATCCTGAAACTCATTTGGATCATTCCCTTGTCCTTTCTAAGTAACAAAAAGTGATTAAGGTTTCCACGGACTGCTCTTTGTTCGGCCCGATAATCGCGCGCTAACTGGCACACTGTCAAAGAGGGGCTTATAAAATCTCTCAGAATCTTCGTCATGAAGCTAATAAATGAAGCTAATCATACAAACATAAAATCATACAATTGATAATCATAAAATGAATACAAATCAACTTGCAGATACCCGTTTCCACTCAAATCCTTGTGTTCGTGCCGTTGAAGCGATCCCGTCATCAGTTGTTGAGGAGACAAGACGATCCCTGGCGGCCTCACTTCCTTTACCCGTTGCTGAGAGGCGGAAATTCTTTGAGACCATTGCCGAGTACAGTACTCCTTTTTAAAATACAGTACTGATCACTGTACTGTACAGTCAAAGTATCGTATATAGCCGTTTATTGTATTCGGAGTACTGCACCAAGTGCCCCAGTATCGATTGTTTTCAAGTACAGTACTCCATTTCGACTCACAGTACAGTTTTGTAACGGAAACTAGGGCAGATCATACACCGCTGGGACTCGAACCCGCGACCTTTCGCTTACCGGGCAACTGTGCTAGCCATTACACCACGACGCGCCTGATCTCCCTTACTCTAGAGGGAGCTAAGTGCACCAATTCTTGTATCGGAGTACTCTACTTTACTTACTTGTTAACGTACGTACCCTTTGTACAGTACAACGTACGGTACCTGTTTGTACAGTACAACTTACAGTACTCCTTGTACAGCACAACGTACAGTACTCCTTGTACAGTACAACGTACAGTTCCCTTTGTACAGTACAACGTACAGTTCACTTTTGTACAGTACTCCTTGTACAATAAAACGTACAGTAAGCTACAGTATACTGTACTTTTCAACCTAAAGTACTGTACCTTTAAACCCCTTTCTAAAGCTAAAGTTTTCTCTTTAACGTACAGTGTACAGTATACTGTACTTGTACTGTACTTGTACTGTACTGTACTGTACTTGTACTGTACTGTACTTGTACTGTACCGTACTTGTACTGTACCGTACTTGTACTGTACTGTACTTTCTTGTACGAATTATTCTACTTTTCGAAGTAGAATACTACTATTCAACTTCCCCCAAATTCCCCCATTCTCTTCGGTGTATTTTACGCTCAAATTTTTTGAAACTACGCAAAATTTCTATAGTACAAATCGTCTTTTTGTCTTTTTTTGTCTTTTTTTTTGGCTACTTATTACTGATGAGAATTTACGCAAAATCTTAAATTTTATATGCAAAATGAGATTTCTTTTGTTTTTCTCTCTCCTGAATCCCAGAATCACACACAAAAATGAGTGCTTTCGCGATTTGGTTTTCCCATTGATTGAGCCAAAGATTTGTTTGTGAATTTTTTGTGTCATTTTTTTGTCATTTTTTTCTCGTTATTCTATAGTAACCCTAAACGTGGTTACGATTTTTCATCTTTTTCTCCTCTTCTAGTATCTTTTTGTGTGATAATTTGATCGATTTTATCGACTTTTTTCTATTTTACACTACATATCTGTACAAAGAAAGCGATTGAATAAAGATTTTTATGTTTTTCGTTTTATTAATCGTTAAATACAATGGATTCATTGGCTTTAAAGGTCAAGAGATAAAATTCTGCAAAACGGACAGACGAAAAAAAGCCAAAGATCAAAAGGTAAAGCTAGATCGAAGAGCCTGTGACTCTCATTGGATCGGAACGTTTGATTTTCTATAAATTGATGGCAGGAAGGTCCTTGGGTTCTTGGAAAATGATTAACGCTCCTCAAAAGATTTGATGTAACATAAGCCGATCAGAGAATTGAGCTTGAGCTTGCCTTTCAATTGAGCTTGACTTGAAATTTCAAGCCTTTCCATTACATTTGCCAAATTTCGTTTGAAACCTCGGCTTTAACTTTGCTTCGGCTAGAAATTTGACTTTTTTTGCCAAGCCTGGACATCAATACCTAGACTAAACTCATCTTTACCAATAACTTTCCTGTTAGAGTACAAAATCAACGATGTTTTAGCCCCAAATCAAGCCTAAGCTTTGTCTAAGATCTTTGACCCTTTGGCCTGGAAACTTGTGTATCCCTATTGAATTTTAAACGCTATTGAACGCTCCAATAGAGCGTTCAATAGGGTTTAAAAACTAGCAACATTTAACGATTTTCCATTTTTGAATGCATTTTTCCTAAAATTTCTTGTTAAAAACTAGATTATAAAGAGAAAATTCTCAGGGAAAAGGGGAAATTCGATGAGAATACGATGGGAAATTTGAAAAAGAAAAGCAGAGAAAAAGCACGAAAAACTTCAATTCTTCTCACTTTCGAAATTTATTGATGAAAATGATTGGAATCTTTGTATTTCTCAAACTTTCTCAATTAGGTAATGGAGTTATTTTGAGTGATTTGAAGCACGGTTTAGCTTTGACAACATGTCCTGATACGCAAGTGAGCACACCGTGTGGATATGTGAATGTTTTCTGGGATTGCGGACTAGCGAGCACAAGTGGTGGGTTTTAAACTGGAGCTAAAACGTTTCAACGTTTCAAAACAATCGTAATTCTGTTCTAGTTTTTATCCAATCTCTATTTCTATCTAATAGTTTGTCCCAGTCTTATATCTCGTTACAAGGACCACTAAATTTGCTCTAAATAATGCAGAAAGAAAGTTAGATTGGTTCAAGCACCTCGGAACACACTCTAATCTAAACTGAAGGTCTTAAACTAACTAATTAGTTAGTAACTAACCCCCTTTAGACTTACTAAACCTTTTCTAAAATGATTTGACACGAAATTCAAAACGAAATAGGAAGAATCGTAACATCAAGAATAACAAGATCGCGCCGTGACATTATTTAGATTTGCGTTTTAGTTAAAAGGAATTGGTTAAGTTGAGTTAAAAGTTAAAAGGAATTGGTTAAGATAGCATGTGTGAACATGCTTTAGTGTTTTAGTTAAAAGGAATTGGTTAAGATAGAATGTGTGAACGGATTCAAAACAATGGAGTGGAAAGGGCCGAAAAGAAAACGAAATAAAACTGTACTAGAATTTTAAACAACAAATTATGGGCAAAAAATATAAAAAGAGGGAACGAACGAGGGGAGAGAGGGTACTTTAAAAACGCGCTACGAAACGATAATAGATTTTACGAAGGGGAAAGAAAAATTAGCGAGCCAGAAAAGCGAGCAAAAGAAAAAAGAAAAGTTTCCGATTCCATCAAAATCCGATAAAAGACAGAGAAACTTTCCGATTCCATAATGAAGAAAAAAATGAAAAGAATGGCAAAAGGAGGGGAGTGGGACAAATCCGACCTTTTTTTTGCGCACCCGGACATTTGCGCACCTTTTTTTCCGCACCTAGCCCATTAGCGCACCTTTTTTCGCGTTTTAAAAAGCTCTAAAAAGCTAATATTAACCAATTTCTATTCCAAATTTTGTTTTTCTAGGTAATTTGAGGGTGTCGAATTCAAATTTTGACATAACAGAGCGTGTGGAACCAATTTGAAAGACAAAACGGCTAGATTTGTGGCGGGGTCCTTTTATGGCGTCGGGTTACGGTAGTTTCCGACGTTTGGCGCGGAAGCGTCTGGAAAAGAAAAAGTGACAAAAAAGCGCGAATTTTGCATCATTTTTCAATCATTTTTTTCTAAGCGCTGGTTAACGCTAAAAATATGTGTTATATCTCAAAAAAATACCCATTTTCTCTATTTTAATTTGATACCAAAGTGCGCGGAAACAAACGTACTGATGTCGAGATATGAGCGTTTGTTTGAGAGTAAACTTAGATTACGCGATTACAGAAAATTGTCGATTTTTCTCTTTGTATAACTCCGTCGGTTTGTTTCCACAAGCTCTGATATGTCAAAATTTCGATTCTACGCCCTAAAATTACCTAGAAAAATAGAAAAACAACATTTGGAATAGAAATTGGTTAATATTAACTTTTTAGAGCTTTTTTAAAACGCGAAAAAAGGTGCGCTAATGGGCAAGGTGCGGAAAAAAAGGTGCGCAAATGTCCGGGTGCGCAAATGTCCGGGTGCGCAAAAAAAGGTCGCATTTGTCGCACTCCATCAAAATTCCATCAAAATCCGATAAAAGGCAAAGAAACTTTCCGATTCCATAATGAAGTCGATAAAAAAATGAAAAGAATGGCAAAAGGAGCATTTTTGTGTGGGGTACGGTAGCGCATCCACGCTTTAGAAAGCTCGCCGCGCTGCTTTTGCGCCAGATCTTTTCCAGATCCTTTCCAGATCCAGAAACGGCAAGTAAATAAGAATCTAACTAATCTAATCTAACTAATTGTAAGAGCAAATCTCATTGAGAGATGGATCTGTATCTAATTTTTCGATTTAGTGGCTCTATTCACGGCCGGGGTGAAGACAAATATCACTTTGGAGAAGCGATGTGAAGAGGTTTATTGAAAAAGATGGATAAAATGGATTTATTTTGAAATCACAATACCTACGATTAGGAAACTAACAATAAAAAAAGTCATTTTTAGTGTATTTTGTGCTTAAACTTGTAAATACATCCTTTCTAATGCAATGAATTCCTCATTTTTGACTATTGGAGAAACTATTGAAGAAAACTAAGAATTCAGTACAACAGGAAGTACACCAGTTTACCACAAGTACACCACCAGTTTACCCTCATGGTAACTTGATATTTCTATTTGTTTATCCTTTAATAGATCGGCGATAATTGTATCTGTGGAAAAGGGCTTGTTCTTGACGCCAACACGCAGCAGTGCCGGAAGGAAATCGACGTTTGAAATGAAGAAAGATTTGTGTATTCAAAAGTTTCCAGATTCACGCTGATTGCTTCATTTTCCTTAAAAAAGTCCTCACTGCAACGGGGAAAAGTTGAATTTTTTTGCATAAAAACAGCTTTAAATAAGTTCTAGTGGCTCCGAAAGTTGCGGACAGTTTGGTGAGCATTTGCAAGAATCAAGAGGCTTTTGCGGTAAATGGTTAGTTTTATAGTTTGAAAAGGGATTCAATTCAAATAGCTAGATGGGTACACTGTTTAGATTTAGCTTCACTTTACCACATCACATCAACTCCCACCATTTTTCTTTCCAGGAACCGATCGGGAATACATTTGTGCTCAAGGATACCTCGTGGCAAATGAGAAACGTTTCGGTGGAAAAGAAGCGAGATGTTTGTGAGTGAAACTGTATGATTAGGGCCAGCTGAAATTGCCTAATGACGTTTTTGATGGGTTTTTGTCGCCGTGGCGTAATCGGGAGCGTAACGTAATCGGGAGCGTAGCGTAATCGGGAGCGTAACGTAATCGGGAGCGTATCGTAATCGGGAGCGTATCGTAATCGGGAGCGTATCGTAATCGGGAGCGTATCGTAATCGGGAGCGTATCGTAATCGGGAGCGTATCGTAATCGGGGGCGCGCTTATCTACCGCTCACACGATAGATAAGCCCCCGTAGCCTTTACCTCCTTACTATCGACCTGCTCACTATCGACCCCCCGTAGTTTTCAAAAACTTCAACATTGAGTGGCACTACGGGGGATCGAACATTGAGTGTCACTACGGGGCCTCATGTGGGTCCTAGACGAGCGCGCTCCCGCTGCGCCACAGCAACTACAGCGACACAGCGTCGTCCTCGAAAGATCCAGCTAGAAAAACCCACCCAACGGCTTAACCAGCTGAAAAACGCCTCGATGGGGGTCGAACCCGGGTTGTGTGAGCTGTATCCAAGCGCGCTCCCTCTGCACCACAACCACTATACGTCGACGTCGACTAAAAATTTCAGTTTTTTTTAGCCCATACAGACGGACGGACAGACAGATACTGTTTTTTTATATATATATTAAAGTAGATGTCAAAATAACTCGTTTACTAATTTTCGTAGGTAAACTTTCGCTCTTTTCACCCTTTCAATTTTGGCGCAATCTACGGCCCACACAACACACAATAATTAGACTTTCTAATGAAACAAACCGTAGTTCAATTGGTGCATTTATTGGTTTTAAACGGAAGTACAAAAAAACGAAAAGACTCTGAACAGCCATGAAAGAATGAAAAGGTTTAAGCTGTGGACGAGACGATCTCGGATTGTACAATGGAAGTTGTGTGAAGAGAGCTGAAGCTGTAGCGAAATGTGCTGATGGAAGAAATAGTTGGAAAGAAAATCTAAAATTATCTAAAGCCCAAGTATTTTAGGCACTTTATGCCAGATTGCTAATCAAGTTTCGACAACATCCGCATGTGTACAAGTGAAGAAGTTCAAGTGTGGAGAAAAGGGTAGAGTTGAGGAGGAGACTGAGGAGGAGACTGAGGAGGATACTGTAGTCAAAGAGGAATACTGTAGCCAAGGAGGAGTCAGTATTGATGGAAAGATACGGTAGCTATTGGTTACTGTAGCTATTGGTTAGTAGCTATTGGTTACTGTAGCTAAGGAGAGCCAAGCGTAGCCTTACAATGCAAATATTAGTAAAGCTGTACCCTATAAAGTAAAGAAAACAAAGAAGTTTGTTTAGCGTAAATGCAAATTCTAGATTTTTCATTGAAAATGAGAATTCAGTACATTAGAAAAGAGCGTTTGAGTGAATTTAAACAACTATTGGATGTTGACGGATCCGTTTTAACTCCAGAACTTTAGCTGGAACGGGCGCAGTCACCAATGAGAACGTGTGCAAAATTGGCGAGTGCTATTGTCCGGGTAAAAACGAGTAAACAAATTTCATCAGATAAAATGAATTCAGATGGATTTGTTGAGAATGAAGCTGGAAAATGTTTACTGCTCAATGATGCTCTCCAAGCTTGCATTGATGCTTTTGTTCTGATGAATAAATGTAAGTTAAGAGTACAAAATGATATACAGAAGTAGATTTCAAATGAATCTTACAAAAGCAAAGGTACGGGTACTGTAGCTATTGCTTACGGTAGCCAAGGAGTACTGTAGCTATTGCTTACGGTAGCCAAAGAGCACTGTACTCCTTGGCTACTGTACTAGTACAGTAGTCAAGGAGGAACTGTACTGTAGTCAAAGAGACTGTCCTAAGGTATACTGTAGCCAAGGAGGGACGCAGAAGATGTAGTAGATTACGGTAGATTGCTAGGTAGATTGCTTACGGTAGCCAAGGAGCCAAGAGTTTGTAGCAAATGCAAATTCATAAATCTACCGTACTCTCTGAAAAACAAAGAAGTTTGTTTAGCTTGTGGTGCAAGCGAGACCCTTCTTTCGTGTCAGCAAAACGAGTTCACGTTTATGGGATGCACTTCGACAGGTTTAAGAAAGAAGGTCACCGTAGTTCTTGTATTAAAGCGACATGTCGTTCTATTTTTCAATACCTCCAAAAACTGTCGTTCTATTAGGACATTTCGTTCTATTAGAATCTATCGTTCTATTAGAATCTATCGTTCTATTAGAATCTATCGTTCTATTAGAACCTATCGTTCTATTAGAACTTATCGTTCTATTAGAACCTATCGTTCTATTAAAACCTATCGTTCTATTAGAGTATGTCGTTCTATTAGAACCTATTGTTCTAAGGCTTCTATTAGAACGATAGAACCTATCGTTCTAAGGTTCTAATTGAACGACATGCTCTAATAGACCTATTGTTCTATTAGAGTATGTCGTTCTATTAGAGTATGTCGTTCTATTAGAACATGTCTCTCTATTTTTCAAAGCTCATTTTCTTGCTGTCTCCGACCAATGATCGTTGACTCCAAATCCAATTGTGACTCCAAATCGTTTTACGGCAGCGTTTTTTGATGCTTCCTTTGCGTATTGATGATTTCCAATTTGGTTGAGGCATCAAAAGCTCGGCGCTTTTTTTCCCCTTGGATATAAAAAGAGCAATGCATCTCCTCCATCGTCAGCCTTTTGTTCTTCACCAGCTGCATCTACTTCATGAACATCAACTTGATTCTCCTCTTGCAAATCCTCAAATCCTCGAGCATACCTAAAAGAAAAATAATACATAATATTAAAAAAACAGTAGTGAAAATCAGTAAACAAAAATAGAAAAGAAAAACAATGTTTGCTATGCGCTTTGAAAAAATGAAAAAATGTTTGATATGTTAAAAAGGGTGTCTATTGGAGCATGTCGTTCTAATAGAAGAATTACGGTACTTTCTTTATCCATATAAAAATTAAAATGAGTAAATGAACAAGTTTACTGCAGTTGTTTACAAAAATCCTTACCTTTAAGTTCCACCTGAGAGGAGTGCAACGCTGGCGATCCTCGTGCCAATTTTCCATGATGACTGTCGACAAAAGAATGAGCTGAAATGTAGATGCAATCTGGGATTTGGTAAGAAAAATTAGTTTTAAACTCACTTACTTTAAGCTTCTCAGATAATATAAGATATCTGGTTTATTTTGGGCTCGCTAGCATGCGAAAAGAAGTTGAAAACAAAATCTAATTCTGTTACTTTTTCTAAAGACAATGGAATTACGGTAGTCTTTTTGAATCGCACCTTTTAGACCAAGAGAAATAGAGTCGGCAAAAAAAGTCTTGCACCATTGTCTCTCAGAGACTTAAAACAAAAAATTGTAACAAACGTTTGTAATTTTTGTAACAAACAAAAGACCTACAGAGACGATTCAACGACAATTCCACGACTGCAGAAAAAAAGACAAATGAGGGAACCCCTGAAAATTCGTCATTTTACATGCAAATTGATTGTTTTTGAGTCAGACTCAGTTACTAAAAGTACAAACGGTGAAGGCATTAAATGTCGTCTATACCATAGTAAACAACAGAATACAACAATGGTGCAAGACTTTTTTTGCTTTCTAAACCGGCTGTCTCTGATAAAACTTTGTTTTATGTAAAAAGGCTTTTAATAAAAATGGCTAATATGTCCGGAAACTAGACAAAAATAGTAGAATTAGTTGTTAAAAAAGTTTTCTCTGAAACGATTATTTTTACGGAAAATTTTTTGTTTTAAGTCTCTGAGAGACAATGGTGCAAGACTTTTTTTGCCGACTGTAGAGTCTAGTTTTGATTAACATTTCAATAACTCAAATTTCAGCTCGAGTTCCTTCGGCGGGAAAATGCATCTCAGTGGCCGATGTGGAAGCCTCTTGTCACACTTGAAAATCCCAAAATGAATCTAATCAATTGAATATTTCTCTGATAAATGTCAGCAAGCATTGTTGTTTTGAAGTTAGAAAAGGCTTTCGAAAAAAAGCGTACAAAATTTGGACATCAATTTTATTTGTTTTGGTATTTTCAAGCTATCGAGAAGCTGAACTTTCACCCTTTAAATCCGCCCCTTTTATCAAAGTGAAAATATTCAGCTGTTAGATTGAATATTTTAATGCCACAGCAAAAAACTAGAGCTCTCTATAAAAGGCAGAAATTGGCAAAATTTTCATGATTTGTGGGGGTGTGAAAAATGCTACCTTTTTTGCGCGCCCGGGCATTTGCGCACCCGGCCCATTAGCACACTCTTTTTCGTTCTCGTTTTAAAAAAGCTAATCTTAACCAATTTCTATTCCAAAAGTCGTTTTTTTGGGTAATTTTAGGGCAATCTGAAACTTAACCGAAAATCAATATTTTTTCACGAAAATTTGTACACAGGGGTTTTTGACTATGCCGAATCGATTAGTAATACTTCTATAACTTTTTTGGTACTTGTGAATCTGTTGCACGAACATTGTTTTGAAATTTTGCATATAAACTGTTTGAAATTAATTTTCTAAAAACGTTCGGAAACACCTCTAACCCTTAGTAGATTACGTTCCCTTTAACTGAAAATAACTTTTTTATAAAGTTAAAGCGACGATTGGATTAGTGGCGCCTTTCTAAGACTATTTGTTCAGAATCATCACGCAATTTTTTTCTCACTGGTTTTTAGTGCCTAAAAATTAGCCCCTTAGATGTGTCATTAGTCCCTCATTGGCTCAAAAGCTCAAACATTTTATTCCAGTGATCAATTTTTTTTTAGATGCAAGACGAAACTTTTTATAAAGTGGCTACGATTAATGGACGTCAATTCACACTTTCGAAGAAAGCCGCCGAACTTTCAACAACGCTCGTAAACGTCATTCAGGTTCAGACTTTCAAGTCGTTGCACTTGTAACTGAAGTTTAGGCTTACGACCTTCTCACCGACGAGGCGATTGCGCGAATGGAGCCAATTCAGCTTGCTGTTGAAAGCGAGCATTTTCATTTCGTAAGTAGTTTCGATAAATTTTTAATGTAGACTTTTCAAGGTTCAAAAATGGTTGGAGACACATCGTGATGCGCCACCATTCAAAGACGAAACCGAAGTGTGCTTGTCTTCAAGGTAATAAGATTATAGGTGTTTTAGGTGGGAAGATCTAACCGAGCCCGATCTGCTTAAATGGGAAGCTGGGTTCTTTGCCGATCTGCTCGACGAGCAGCTTTTCCACATTTTCAAGGTAGTGTTGCATATATTAACTTAACTTTCTGGTTTCAGGCTTCCAACTACTTAGACATCAAAAGCCTTCAAACGAAATGCGCAAAGGCAATCGCTGCCATGATCACGGTATCACTTTAATGTATAACCTTTACATATTGTGAGTTGAGGGCAAATCGGAGACGCAAATTTACGAGATTTGGGGACTTTCACGAAATGTCTTTAGCGCTCAAGAACAAGCAAACTATCGGTAATGATTTTTGAGAAAATATTTTGGAAAAGGCTAGTAAAATGAGGACATTTTTCCACATTTTAGCCTCGGGAATCCTTGGGAGGCGATCCTGCAAAATATGGCAACGCAAAAGTAGACTTCGTCATGCTTTAATTCTCCGAATGCACATATCTTAATCATCTTTTTCTCGTTGATATTCTTTTTACGTTCGTATTATCTTTTTGTAAATCTTTAGTTATTCAATAAATTTTAACCAAAAGTTTGTTTAATCTTCGGGTTAAAAACTCTTGGAAATATCTATTTTGAGTTTATCAAAAGCGGTTTTGGTTTAGCCGTCTGGTCGTTTGTCAATGAGTACTTTTTAGTTTGCCTGCAAAAGATGGACGAACAAGTTGCCTACAAATTTACTGCCAAAGATGGAAAAATTTTCACTCTTTCAAAAAACTCCGCACAACAATCATCAGTCATCATGAAAGCAATTGAGGTAGGTAACAATTCAGAGTTCTGTATAATCCTAAACAAATTTATAAGTGTGTTCAGCGAAATAATTCCCGATCCTACACGCGAAAGAAGCGCGGTGTTCTTAACCTAAAATTATTTTATGAGAAACTTTACTTATTGTACTTTTCAGAGTTTCTCTCTTAAAGACGACGAATCAATCAAAAACATGGAGCCGATTCCCCTGCTTACAATTGACAGTCACACATTTGAAATGGTTAGTCTTTATGTTGTCTACATGAATTGTGTGAAAATTTTAGTTGAAGAGCTGGCTCGAGTTTCATGAAAATGCAGCCGAATATGAGGAAGGTCCCTCTTACTGGTTTTGATTTTGATCTAATATTCGTGATGTTTTGCTGTTTTTAGGCTGTCTGAGAATTATGATGAAGACTTGGACGAATGGGAGGTCAATTTCATTACCGATCTTAGCAATGATGAACTTTTTGATATGATTATGGTATCTTTGCGTTTGACTCTGTAAACTAACAATATTTTAGGCTGCCGACTATTTGGACATCAAATCTCTTACGCATAAATGTGCCGAGGGATTCGCTAAGCTCATTGAGGTAACTTTACTTTGATTTATTTTTACATACCTTTTAAGTTCAAATCAGCCAAAGAAATTTCTAAGAGATGGAGAATTACCATGGATTTCTCGTCTGATGAAGCTGAGGAGATGAAGTATGCTTATTGCTTTGTGTATTTCTTAGACTTTCTTGATTGCTGATGCCTTAACGAGTAGTTAGTTAGGTATAATTCTTATCTGTATTCACTAACTACTCATCAGCTAAGTCTAACATCGCCGATAAGTGCATAGCTAGAGCTTTTAGCAACAAATTAATTTAATCTGTTTTCAGGACTGAAGATCCATGGGAGGTCGTTATGAAGCCACACAAGGAGGTCAAGAAAAGGAAGAAACCTACCAAAGGCCCTGGTCCATCACGACCCCAAAAACGACGTTATGGTGCTTCTTAATTAATTCTTTATCACTCACCTTTGTTATTGGCTCGTTAAGTCGTTTCGATTCTTTGTCAATGTACTTAATTTTTCTGATTAGTCAAAACCTTTTGCAAGATTAAAATGTTTTCTCGCTTTGTATATGTATTTTCTCGACAATCAATAAATGTTGATAAATTGATTTGGTGTGTAACGGAAAGCTTTATATGGTTGTATTGGATTTTTTTTCTGAGGTGAGGCGATTTTAAACATAATGCATCGCGTGCGGTATCAAATATTACTGTAGTCACTGACTCTTTAAATGTGGGGTCACAAATTTTGCGTTAGACCAGATCCTTTATTTACGTTATTTGTACCAAGTTCATCGAATAGTTAACGTATAAACAAAATCTTTCAACTTTTTGCATATAAAAAAGCCGGTCAAACAGCCTTCGCGGTAATTTGTACTCGCGCGTATCGACACCCTGCGTAAATCATTTTTTCACTTTTTCTCTTCATCAGCTGCATTGATTTCATAATTAGCACAAATTATAAGTATTACGGAGCTTCAAACTAAAGCCAGATCTTTGCAAGTTTTTGAAGAGTTTTATATTTTGGCTTTTACTTGAAAACTTTGACTTCTTTAGCTAAATTGAAAACATAAATTTCATTTATTTTTAGATGGCTTGTAGCACTGAGGAATGTCATGTGGCCATCGTGGAAAAATCGTCGACTTGTTCATCTAGCTTGTTAGGTAGGTTGCTGTTTTAAGGATTATAAAGTGCTGATGATGTGTAAAAGAATCTGAGCTTTACAGGGTCATCTTTTATTGCTCAAAACTAGTTATTAGATCATATCATCATGTTGATTACATTAAAAAAATAAACTTATCTTATATTTTTTTAGTCAAGTTTGTTGCTTTTAGATCTACAACTCAATCACACCGACAAGCAGGAGATTGTGTTTCGAGGACGGTCCGTTCGCCCCGATCAATGGCTAGAAATTGCCAAACAATGCAAATATCTACCCGAAGAGGATATGCTGGCTTTGTGTAATTTGTAAGTCCTATAAAATAAAGTCTTAAAGCTTGCCTATTTAGAATTGTCGAAAGGTTAATTACCATGCCAAATATTGTCGCTGTTGACTTGCCGGTGACAATATGTGGAGATATCCATGGACAATTCTACGATTTGCTCGAGCTGTTTCGGTGAGTTTGAATCAAGATTATGATTAAGCCCAACTTTTGTTTCTCAAACAAATACACAAAATCATACTTATTTTAGTGTTATAAATTTCAGGACTGGTGGCGAAGTTCCGAACACAAAATACATCTTTATGGGTGACTACGTGGACCGAGGACATTATTCGCTTGAGACGCTCACATTGTTGTTTTGTCTATTCTTGAGGTTAGTAAATCGGCTTTCCTTTAACTGTCATTTTTTTAGATACCCGGACCATGTCACTCTCCTACGCGGCAATCACGAATCCCGCCGTATTTCATCAGTTTATGGTTTTTACGATGAATGCATACAAAAATATGGGCACCCAATTGTATGGAAAGTGTGTTGTGAGGTTTGGATCTACAATTTTTATCTTATGAAAATTTGTTTTAGGTTTTTGATTTGTTGCCATTGGCTGCAGTGATAGATGGTGATGTTCTATGTGTTCATGGAGGGTTATCGCCAGAAATTCGTTCGCTTGATAAAATCGCGTTTTTGGATCGCAACAACGAAGTGCCAGCAAAGGTATGTTTACTTGACACAAAATTATAGTACTTTTTGCGAAACCCAAAACCAATTTGGCTCTTTTCAACTGCTCACCTCCTTTAAAAAAATTGACCTCTTTAATTTTTTTTCTTTTGTGCCGCGTTGATTGTGATACCATTCTGTAAGGGCCCCTTTCACACTAAATTCTTTAGTCAACAATGTTAAAGTTTCCACCGCACAATCTTGATAGAATTCACGATAATGCGGCCATCGCTCTTGAATTGTGGTGACAGAAATGTCCAAGCTAGAACGAATTTCCGTGAGAGTTGCCTAAATGATAAGCTTGTATATAAAGATTAAGTTGGATTAATACTTGAGGACGAAAAGCCCAACTGTCAAACGAAGTTCTTCATGCAAAGACAAGTGGCCCCCCGTAACAAACATCTCTTACTTAATAGCTCAATGCGGAAATTTCTTTTTTATTTTGTTTAGACTGGTTTTTAGCATTTTGCATTGCAAAAAATAAAACTTTTCGGTTTTTTGCACAATCAGCACGGCACAAAAGAAAAATTTATGGAGATCGATTTTTTAAGGAGGTGAATAATTGAAAGAGCCACAAATTTTAAATAATTTTAAATTACCGATCTTTATTTCAAGGTTGCTTGACTTGGATTGCAATATCCATATTTCCATCTTTCACCCGACCAGCCACCATAATTACTTGCTTTTAGGGAGCAATGTGTGATCTGATGTGGTCAGACCCAGAAGAAGATGAAGATGGATGGATGATTAATCCTCGAGGAGCTGGATGGGTAAATTTAAACCATTAAGTTTATCTACGATAATGTTTTAGATATTTGGAGAGACGGCCACGCGTCAATTCCTAGATGCAAATGGTTTCGATTCATTGTCTTTGCCATACATATATATATATCGCTTTAGGTCTATCACTTGTTTGTCGTTCACATCAACTTGTTCAAGAAGGATTTAAATACATGTTTAATAAATGTCTTTGCACTGTTTGGTCAGGTATGTGGTTTGTTTGTTAGCTTAAATAACTATAATTCAGCGCCTAATTATTGCTATCGCTGTGGCAATATAGCAGCAGTACTCGAACTGGATATTGACGGGCGAAGAGAGGTTATTTCTAAACAATTTCTTTTGTAAAATAGCAAGTATCAGATCGTAGTGCGTGTGATCGTAATATCAGCCATACATTAGCTAAATTAGTGATTCTAAAACTGTTCTATCACATTTTAGCCCAAATATTTTGACGCCGTTGCCGAAGAAAATCGAATAAAGCCTGAGCGTGCAGTGATCCCATATTTCCTATAATAAAACAAACAAGATTTTTATAACTATGTTTATTTATGTGCATACGGGTTATTTATTAGTTTGATTTATTATGATGATTTATTAGCTTGGTTTGATTTCTTTTTATACCGTTTTTCAAAGTACAATAAAAAGTTACAGATTTTCCGAATGATTTTGTGCAGTGAAATGGCTTTTGTTTATTTGAAAAAATGCACAACAACAAAAAAGTGCGAAATAGGCTCACCCTAATGTATCCATGCGATTTAAAAAACGACGAAGGACACTATTTTCCACTTTAACAATCGTCACCTTCACCAAAAATTACCCCAGTAAAGTAACATTGAGGAGGAAACTGGCACGCTAAACTTATGCTCAAAACTTTTATTCTGTCTTGATTTTATCTTAAAAAGTAGAGTTTACGCTCGATTTATATGTAGGCTGCTCTCGGGGATTTTGGTTGCTTCCTAAACTTTGCCCCTTTTCTTCTCTCTTTGAGAGCCGAGTGTATGACCGGCTCTCGTGAGACCTCTATTTTCCCCTTTCCCCCTCAAAGCTATGCACCTTCTCCATTGTGAAAGCAGCTAAGAATATATCCTTTATCATCCATTTTTCTTGCGCAAATTGCTTTAATGAGTTCGTATATTTGTCTTTTTATAAATTTTGAGAATATATTGATTACTTTAGATATGATTGAAGAGCTTGTAAAAGCTACAGCTGAAAACGATTGGAACAAGGTTCGTCAGCTGCTTCATTCACATTGGCAACAAAATTGCCCGAAGTTGTTTTCTTCGAATCCAGATGCGCCGTGGGATCTCAGTTACGATGAACTAGCGATAAGTAGGTTTTGATTACCACAATTGTTTACACTGTTGCTAAATTTTCTAAACATTAGTCCAACCTGGATTTTTATTTTATTTTTTAATAAAGGCTTTATTTGAAAAAAGCACCGTGATTTTATTCTTCTAGATTCATCACTCTTCCGCCCATTGGCCGCGGCTTTTGTGCAAAACGTCGAAACGACCACAACTTCTTTGCTTTCCTTGAATGAGGAAGCTGGTGTGTTTCATCGGTTTTCTTCGAATCCGAACAATGTTGTTTAGGAACAAACCCAACTGATCGCCGCCCTGGGCAAATTTGTGGCTATGTCTTCAAATGTGGAGAGCCAACTTATTCGTGCAAGTAAGGATTTTTAAAATTTTAGAATTTCAATTTTTAGCTTGATCTAAATTGTATCTTTTCAGAGAATGTGCCACAGATCCAACTTGCGTTTTGTGCAGGGAATGCTTCAATAACTCTATTCACAAGAATCACAAATATCGGGTAAACCTCGGAAGATTTTTTTAATGAACTTTTTCAGATGAGCACCTCTGGAGGAGCTGGCTACTGCGATTGTGGGGATAAAGATGCATGGCGTGAAGGACATGCGTGTAGCACTCACGCGGTCGATGGGGAATTAGCTGACAAGATGGATGCCCTGTAAATAATTTCTACCAGTGCACTTTATCTTGGTTTTAAGATCCTCGGACAAGAATATCCCGCCAATTTTGTACAATCGAATCTATGGATTGACGGCTATCCTCTTACAATATTCGACGCAAATGCTTTGTTGGCAGAATGAGGAGAAACATCCGGCTTTTACTAAAAGGTTTGGCTTTTAAACAAATCGGAGGGACAAGTTTTTTTCAGCCCACCAGATTTTTCACCTGCATTCCAAACGGTACTGTTCAATGATGAGACGCACACTTATGAAAATGTAAGCTTGTTAAGAAGCAAAGAACTGTTTCAAAAATTTAATATGATATTAATCTTTAACCAATTCAGGTGATACGGGCATTGGATATTGCAATCAACTGCACACATAATCAAGCGATGACGCTGGCTACTATCGTCGATCGCGAAGGACGAAGCACTGTTCGGGCTGGTAATCGAGCAAGTTGTGAACGTGTACGCGATGAAATAATCGTAAGTGCCATTCAACTTGATTTGTCAATGCAAATTTTAGCGACGAACGCAAAAAGACACGAATCGCGTTACTGAAAAAACCGGGCCATTGGTTGTCAAGGTATATTTCTGTACTTGATGTCAAAGTCTTGTTTTTAGGTTTACGAGAGTGGATTCATCTGTCATCAAATTCATGCAATTCAAATAATTTCGTGGCTGAATCAACAAATTGAACACTTTCGTAAGTTTAAACTTATTTATGAGGAACAACAAAAATTTTTTAGCGATTCTCAGCAACATTCTTGGTGACGTTCTACTAAATGTTGAAGCTTTGGACGACGAGTTGAGTGAACAGGAAAATCCGGAGGACTTGATGGAAGTCTGCAAACAAAAGCTTGTCGAAAAGTTCATGTATTGCGATCGAAAGTTGTGGAAAGGTTTTCTTGCACAGTATTCATTCGTTCATTTTTCCATTTAGCTGCTCGTTCGAACTTTCACCAAATGTTAATGAAAACAGTGCTAATGGATATGCAACAGAAATACGAGTTCAGCAAGAGATTTTTGAATGTGTGTTTATGGTCAGTAAACAAGTTTCATTGCTTTTTCAGATGTACACGCACATGTATGAAGACTTTTGTGACGATGATCATAAACATGATGTAAGCGGAACACTGATTGCTTGGTATTTATCTTTTCTTGTAGGTTTCAATTGTTTCGCTGACTGTGCAATTTTTCACCATTCCGTCGTTTGCACGAAGATTGATCGGTGAGGAGGACGCAATCACAAGAATCATCGCTAACTACACCCGTCATACTGCTAAATATGTGGCACCGGGTATGTGACAGATTGTCTAGCTGGGAAGTTAGTGAAGCTATCCTTTATTTACGCAAACTTGAGCACCCTAAAGAATATAAGCTATTATAAAATCTGACAATTTAGACCCAGTGACCAATAAAAATCGATTCGACTTTACAACACAAGGTTTTACCGCAATTCTGAAGCGAGCGATGCACATGCTTCGGGATATTGAGTTGAAGACTTTATAAATTTTAAATAACATTTTTTGTTAGCTATCTGTTGAATCAAGTACCAAAACCAAACGAGTGGAACCCAGAACTCCGTGATGGTTTTGTACGTGGAGCACAATCTTTCCTCGATTATTTGCACCTGATGCAGGTACGTTCGCATTTCGTCTTCGTGTTGCCAATTTGAAAACACTTTTTTTAGGGTATGGATCCGGTTAAACGACAACAAGGAGAACACAAGACTTGGGAGCCCGAGTGGGAAACAGCTTTTAACATTCAAATCCGTCAACAAGAGATTATTTCTATGTTTATTGCTTGGTGCTTGTCAGATGTGGGTTTTGCTGCGTTTATGTTTTTGCATCTGAACTTGTAGTCTAACCCTAATTGTGCATTTTAGTTGGAAGTACATCACCGAATGCTCATTCTTTGCTTGGAAGCGTGTTCAAATCAAAAACCCAGTGTGACAGATCCTGGAGAGCCAGGCGAAACGAAGACCATTGTCAAAAGTGAGATCAATATGAAAATAGGCCTATAAGATTTATGTTAGGGTTGGCCTAGAAATTGGAAGGAAACTAATAGGATCTGAACTTGGAAAATCGAAGAAGAAAGAGTTTAATTTTTAGTTGCCAATAAGGAAACGGTTGTTCCATCGTTTGATGTACTTCGAGGCTATGTCTCAATCCATCAACCAATTTACCGCTTTCTGTCGGGTCTTTTTGCAGCAGACAAGTAATTAAAGAGGTTTTGTAAACCTATCATTCTTTTAGTTCTATGCTACAATTCTTGCAAAAGGAGAAGGGTGCAAGCTCAGCTATTGAAAGTATGATTCTACAAAAAATTGAGGCCATGGATGTAGATTTGTACGAAATGGCTCTACGGTAGAATGATTTATATAATTCAAAAGCTTGGCTTTAGGGTATTTGTGTTGTGCGCTCAATCAACTGCTGGATTATGGCGAAGAAATGGATTCTCACTAGTCAATCAGATACACAATTACCATTCGCCTTTGTGCCGAGCCGAGATGTTTGATCGAGATTTGCTTTTGCTACAGGTTCGGAAATTTAACGACCTATATTAGCATCGTGTTCTGTGTAGTAATTAGTTAAGTACTAGCAATAAAGTGTACGGACGGTTATGACTTTTCGTTGTTGGAGATGCTTTGATCCAAGAAAGCTAGAAACCCTTTGAATGACAAAACAATAACTCACTGACAAAGTTGTGCTTTTTATGCCTGCTTGATGACAAAGTTGTCACGCTTTGTAAATGATTTTCGTGGTTTATCATCTCATTTTAGGCGGGTGCCGCTCTCACAGAGGGATCCCGATTCTTGATGCACTTAATGCATCGATATCGAATCGACAAATGGGCTGATGAAAGTTTTGAGGGTTTCACAAAGTAAGTTCTGTTACATCTTTCTAAAGTTTAAATGGTTTTAGGGAAACCAATGTGTTTGGTCCGAAGATCGAGATGGAGGAGAACTCAAAGTTTTTGGTCTCTTTAGCGGAAGATTTTCTCCATACACTTGTGATGATTGTCGGTTAGTTAAAGTATGAAAAAGTCAAAGGAATATGTTTTTAAGGTGAACGTTGCATCCCGGGCATCGGAAAATGTACACGTGAAGATCAACTTCAACGGGAACTCATTCAAATCTTGTCGATGGGTCCACAGCAGTTTAGTGCTGTAAGTTTGCTCGATGGTGTTTGTGATTAGTTGCTAACGAAAAGATAATTCACCCGGGCTGGGATGAAAGCTCCTTTATGGGGTGTAAGATTTTTATAGGGGCATAAAAATTTTATTGGGGGGAGGGGGTCATAAATAGTTAAAAAAAGTAACGTTCTATGGGGGTGGACCGGTGACTTCTCTTGTTTTGCGGAATGCAATCCAACCGCTTACACTCCAAATGCAAGGCTGGGTACACCGGTAAATGAAAGTACGAGTTTTAGAAGAAACTCAAAAACTAGATCTCAAACGGGCTTCTAGAATTTTCTTTCAAAAAGTTATATGAGAACGTTTTATAACTTTTCTATGGGGTTCATAACTTGTTCACTGTGTGGATTTTGGTTTATCCTCACAGTTAACCGGGTCCAAATATGATTTTCCCTACATTTTCTACACTCTCGGTTTCGACTATCAACATTTCGATAAAGTATACCTGTACCTTCATCTCAAAAAGCATATCTTTTAATTATCACTGTATCTAAAAAGCATACCTAGCAACCCCAGTCCTTTTGTTAGCTTAAACTTTATCAAAAGTTTTAGATCAGCAAGCGCATCTCGCAAGATCCTTTCCTGGATAAACTCTCACTGGAAGAAGCTGTAAAAAGTGTGGCCGATTTCAAGTAAAACAATTTTTTATGGTTTGACTCTAATATTTTTTTAGAAAGCCAACTGCAACAACACCTGGCACTTTTCATCTGAAATCTTCATTTTTTGATCAATACAATCCATTTTTCTACCATTACAGGTAATATGAATCGACATTGTATAAATTTAGCTTTAAATTTTAGCAAGTCTGACCTGAGCCAAGCCGAGCTTTATCAAGAAAAGATACGCCCAAAGAGTGATCGGTGAGTTTCTTAATTCAATACTCAATACTTTGTATCAGTTGAGCTATTTGAATAATCAAATTTAGAGCATTGAGCGCTTGCCCACCACCACACTTGGTTCATTTTGAGGTATTCTTCGAACCCGTTCGTCACCTTCTCTCATGCCCAATGTTAATTGATCTTCACCGAATCATTTTGGAGAGAACCGCTAAACGAAGTCGTTTTTCGTCTGATCGCCTGCTGCATAGGGTTGTTTTGCGAACAAAATTAAAAGAATTTCGCATTTTTAGTGCCTTTATTTAATTGGAATGGCTCTCAATGAACAATTGGACAACGGTCAAAATTTTGATTTCATTCAATATGCACAGAAGGTGATTAGAGATGTTGTTGTTTTTGTTATATTTTTTATTTAGTCGGAACTCTTATCAGCATTGGAAGCTTTGAATGGAAAACCTGAAGCCAATCCCCACAACGATCTTCTGCTATGGGTGATTCAGGTAAATACAATCGTACAAATTAATTTATTCAAAATACATTCAGAAATTCAAAGAAGTGGAACGTACATCAAAGATGGAAACGACAGCTGAAGTAAAGCAAGATGTGGAAATGCCTCCCGAGAAAGAAGATGCTGACGAAGCAAAGAAAAAGCGAATGGCAAAGGCACAAGCAATGCGAGCTGCTGCTTTACAAAAGGTAACTTCGATCATAATATCACTACGATACTGTTTAAAATTATTAGTAGATCTAATTTTAATACTTTAGATGCAACGTTTGCAAAAGACCTTCATCGAGAATGTCAAGAAGGAGGCTTTGGAAAAAGAAGATGAAGGACATGGGTTGGCGATAACAATGACAAGTCAACTTGCTCGTAGAGATGGTGACGAAGACGAGGATTTGGTCAAGTAAAAATAAAGTTATGATATTTTTTCAAAGAACGTTATTTAGGAAAATTTCTGATCACGGCTTTTCGGTTTGCATTGGCCCAAAGAAAGTTAAGGTACGAAAGATAAGAAAATTTCAAGTAAAAATTTTCTCTATAGGTAGAAGAAGTCGAACCGCGTATGGTCAAGTGCATTTTGTGTCAAGATGAAGAAATTTTGAACGAGAAAGCTCGTCCTTTCGTTTGTGCGGCTTTTGTTCAAAAGTTCGTTTCTTTTTACATGATACTCATTGTTTTTAATTTAGATCACATCTCTTTTCTCAATCGGCAAAAGCTCGCGAAACACAGCTCGACGTCCATCTCGTCAATGCTGCGCTATCTTTTGGTGTCGACGCCTCAACTTGTAGTCACACGATGCACTACGAATGTTACCACACGTAAGTATTCTGCCGGTTTACGTGAAAGCCTGAAAGCCCACTATTTCAAATTGTGATTTTAGCTTATCAGAATCTTTGCTGACACGTGATCGTCAAAGAACCCGTCAACAAATGCTTCACAATCAGAAAATGGTTAGTTTTGTTAAGCAGCTCTAAAGATTGATTCAATTTAAGCTGGACACCGATTCTGGGGAATACCTTTGCCCGTTGTGGTAAGTCACGTCTTGATAAGCCAGATTAGCGTATAAATTTCAGCAAGCGATTGTCGAACACAGCAATGCCTCTTATTCCAACACTGCACTCTCTTCCTGTTAACGGGTAAGCGGTGGAACTGTATAAAAGTAATGCGTGCGTTTAGCTTTACTTCAATTCGTCCTTCAACTTTCGAAGAATTTGATGTTTGGGTGGATCGTGTTGGACAATTGGTCAATGCACCACTCACTGGGTTGAAACCTTCTGGAAAATCCCATTCTCGAAAGAGGTATCAGATAACAAATGAAGCATATTTAATTAAGAATACTTTAGATCTCACTCGGAACGAGCAATAAACGAAATGATACACGAGGCAACGAGAGATCCGTTGGCTTCTGGAAAGATTGACAGTGCTTTAAGCAGTTCAGTCCCAAGGTTGGAAAAAAAAGATACGCTTAAAAATAAAAGAAGATAAAAGAGATTATTAAAAGTTTAGCGTATCGTCGGTGAACCTTGTCGATAACATTGTTGATCCGGATCGGGTTCCGCTTTTGGCTGAACTTGAACAGCATCGTGAAAGAATGGGTAAGTTGAGAAATTTTAGAAAAAGAACCATATTTAGCAGGACAAGAGCATGAAGCACGGACAACCGTTGAAGAAATGCAGGCGATTTTGGGCCAAGGCCTTCAGGGAAATGCGCCAGCAACATCAGCATCCGTTGAGGACACTAGACGCGGTGGATCGCGCGATAGACGGTATCTAGGTAGCTTTTTTCTTTATACGAGTTGTTTTAGTTCGGATGTGGGAACATTCATTGCGAGTCTGCCGAATACAATCTTTGGTTTGATCACACGGATGCCACAAGCTGTCATCGCTAAATTCATCAAGAAGATGTAAATATATAATTCTTTTCATTAAAAGCTTTTGTTTAGTGTGCCCATTGAAAAGTTTGAGGAGAGCGTTCGTGCTTTCACTAAATTTGTGATCCGTGCAAGGGATGACTCAAGGGAGCTAGAAGATCAGGTCAAAGGAGTGATGAGCGCTATTGCGGTAGTTGATCATTGCATAACATTATGTATTTTTGATTAGATCTGGAAGACTACCGCTCACGTAGCAAGAGCTATGTCGTTGGTGTTGAAGGAAGAGGGTAAACCCCTTTTTGGAGCGCTCAATTCACGACAGGTTTGTGCCTAACAAGTTTCTATACATCTTTTCGTTCTAGCGTGATTGCATCTTTGCGCTTTCTCGACTTTCGGCTTTGCTTTCCTACAATTTGCAGCCATTTGGAGAAGTGATTGCGCAAATGCTGAAGGTCTTCTTGTCGCAATCAGCAGAGGTAAGATAAAACAATGTTGAGTTAAAAGTAAAAGCTTAGGGATTGCCAGCAAAGTACTCGGCGGAAGGAGGCAGCTCTTCACCTACAGCCACATCTCCTGCTCCCCATGAAGCGGCTACACCAACTACTAAATTTATGGTAATAAAGAAATCAGCTCGTTAGCAAGCACCTCATTTAGCAATCACAATTCGCTCAATTTTTCCTACCATCTTCGCCATTGGGACGCAAAGATGCTATGAAAGACTTTAATGTGAACATTCTTCACGTTGATATGCTTTCATTGGCGGTAGGCTATATTTTCCCTTGAACATCAAATAATTTTTAGTTGGAATTGATGATGTGCATTGGATGGACATGGCATGCCGGAACTGGAGCCGAGGCATCACAAGTAAGTGAAATACGCAGTGACACGTTTCAATCGAATTTTTAGATTCTTGGTTCCGTTAAGCAGTCTTTCCCACTTCGTGAACTGGTCCCCGATGGAAGTCTTGACGAGTTGTATGTTCTTCGTCTGGCTGTTGTTGCTCATTGTTATCAGGTATCTTTTGAATTTTGACCTCGACAAACCGATTTTGACCCTGACAAACAAATTGTATTATTTCAGATTATGGCCACTTTTGACGACAAGGAAGTGAAAGATTCGAATGCTAAAGAGCCAATTGCTGCAAGTGGAGATTTGGAGAACAAAGTTATCTCGCTGTGGGAGAAGATTCACAAAAATCGTCCTTTGACCGAGCGGAAACAGCTGATTCAGGTATGAGTGCTGATTAATTTGTCAAACGAACTTTTTAGACTCTTCATGATGGTGTGCTTAGCATGTTAAGGCCAATTGCATTGGTTTACTATTCGATTACTTTGGTTCCACCACCCGAAGCTTTGAAAGGTATTTAGCAATGCAGAGTGGTGTGACTTTTGTAATTTTAGATCCATCTGTGGAAGAGCTCGAGCCACTGTGCCGGTATTTGGGATTGCCAACGTCTCTGTTTGAGTTGCTCGATGGAAGTGCTACGAATAGATTGTTCGGACTGTAAGTTTTTAATCAAATGCAACATTGATACATTTTTCAGATGGTCTTTGTCACTTCCCCAATCATCGCAACGTTTGGAACTCGTCAAGCAACCAATTGCACCTCGACTCTTGGTGGATTTGCCTGAAGACTTCTCGGAGTTGATCAACATTGCTGCTAAATTCCGGTATGTTATTTAGTTACCCCGTGAATAAGTAGCTGGGAACATAAATTTATCTATTGCTATTATTTAGGTGCCCATCCATTCCACTTGAAGAAATGGCGGCCTCAATTCCGACGATGTGTTTGGTTTGTGGAGAGGTTCTCTGCTCACAATCGTACTGTTGTCAAAAGCAGGTTTGTAAAAGTACAGTTTTGTGCAAAATAGTATTGGTTAGATTGGAAAAGAAGCTAAAGATGTGATCGGCGCTTGCCAATATCATATGCTTTATTGCACCGGACAATCTGGACTCTTCTTGAGGTGGGCTTTATTGTAATGAATGAAAGTGTTTAATGAAAGTGTTTCTATAGAATCCGCGACTCGCAAATTGTTCTTCTGACTTCTCGGGCACGTGGTTGTTTAAAGGCGGCTCCGTATGTTGATGAGTTTGGAGAAACGGATGTCGGCTTTCGGTAAACTTTGGTGTTTGATTGATTAATAATTTTCTTCTTAATAGACGTGGAAACCCACTTCATCTCAATCATGAGCAATACAACAAGCTGCGACAAATTTGGATGCATCAAGGTGTCGCTGAGGAGGTATGACAGCAGTCTACTTAACAGCTAAACTGATTTTTAGGTTGTCAATCAATTCGAATTGGACCCTCGCAACTTAGGATATGATTTTAATCATTTCTAATTTTGTCGTCTATGTTTTTGTGCTTTTGAATATTTTTCATTTCTGGTCAGTTGATTATCGACATTGTTTATCGATCGTACCCAACATTGATACCGGTCTTTTGAATCCAGTCAAAATGTTTTTGGAGATCTTTAGTTTTTTTTTCTGCTCCGCTAATTTACTTACTATTAGGTTACTGATCCTAAATATTGCTCTTGTTTTATCAAACAACTGTACCCTGTTGGCCATCATAAGTTATTGGGGGATTTTCTACGCTTTGTTTTTAATTGTGTAAATATTTGCGGTGATTCTGTAAATATTGATAGTTGCTTAGTAAATCTTTTGTTTTTGTACCTTATGAAATGCATACTGCATAATTTAAAACAAAAAGTTGGGAGCCTGCTACGGTTATCGACGGTTAGCGGTATTAGTTAAACGAGGTCAAATCCCACTTGGCCTTTTTGTTTGATGGTCATATTTAATGAGTAACGAATATTTATCCAACGATCATGTAAATTAACAACAATTAAATCATGTTAAAGTAACAACAATCAACAACTGTGAACAACGTATAACAAAAAACGAGACCAGGGAACGGTGAGGTTGGTTATTCAGCGACATTTTTTGGTGAAAAGCGCTCCTTCTTCATGTCACCTTCACCCTCATCGGCAAACACTGTTCGCTTACCCTAAAAACGTCATGAATTGGTCTTTTTGTTTGAAAACTTTACCTTGACAGCGGGCTCATCTTTGGCATCATCATCATGGCCTCGTTTGCGATCCGAGCTTCTTCCTCCATGTCCTCCACGTCCACCGCGGCGATTATTTCCGCGCCCCCGTTTTGATTGCTGTTGTCGTTGTTTTCGGCTTTCGTTGAATTTTTCCCAATAGGCAGCCTCCTGATCGCCTTCCAAGACCTAAAAAGTTAGGTTGAGGGCTACCCAAAGCAAACTTACCTTTGCTGTTAGTTCATTTTCGCCAATTTTTGGCTTTCCATCTTCAGCCGCCGCAACAGCAGTATCCCAAGCTTTCTGTGCATTGTTCTCAGCGCCGGAGAATCTTAAAACTGTATTTTGACAACAAAATCTAGTAATCGATTACCTTATCTGAGCAACTTCTGGATTGTTCTCATCAAGCACGGCATAAGCGACTTCTCCATATTTGGCTAGGAATTCCTTGATCTCGGCAAACTTGATGTCTTTGGGCAAACCGCTGACCTAAAATAAAGCAAAGAACTTTTATTTGATGTATAAAGTTACCTCCAAGATTAATCCCTTAACAAAGCTGACAACTGGTGCATTTTTTACGTCCTTGCTATCCTTGGCATTCTTTGAAGACTTCATGGCCTGTAAGCTTTGGGATAAAAACAACATAGTAAAAAAAAATGCTATTACTTTTTCATTTGCTCGTTTTTCTTTGGTCTCTCGGTTCTTCTGGGCCCAATAGTCATCTTGCATAAGCTTGAAAAGTTCGGTATCACCGCCAAACTTATCTTCGCTCTAAAATGCAAAAAATTAAGGCCTTTTATGTTTAAAAACTTTAACAAACCTTCTGTGCACTTTCGGCTTCTTCTCTTGTTTTGTAGGTGATGAAAACGGAGCCTTTGAAGACGCGATCTGGCTTTGTGCGCCTCATCAGAACATTGTCCACATGGCCGTATTTTTTCGCCCATTCGCGAATGCTATCCAGCGAAGTGTCTTGATTGAAGCCTTTCTAAAAACAAAATAAAACTGCAAAGTGCTAAAACAAACCATGTAGACAGTTCGGTGCTTGATAGTTTGCCAATATTCGAGTGAGTTCTCGGGCAGTGGATTTGAATCATTGCGTCGAATCTTTGTGCCATCCTAAAAAGTTTAAGGTCATAGCTTAATTGAAGTATCAAGTCAAAGCTTGGCAACTTGGCAATTTACTATATTAACTACACAAAGCCTACCTCGTTAATGGTAACTATGTCCGAGTTTGCATTTTTCACGGCATCAGCGATCACATTTGTGTCAGTCGTAATGGAAGCCAAACGGTTGAACTTCAGCATTGTTTCCAAAGTGACCCCTAAAACAAGTTTATCATAGCAAGGTGAAAAAACAAACATCCGTCGTCCTCCTTGAGTTTTTCTTGAAGAAACTTGTCCCTTGGCAAGTTGATATTACCGAAGTAGTACTAAAAAGAGGAACACTATAAAACAAGCGCTAAAAATTTATACCTCCAGTTGTTCAATCACTTTGTTGGCCATTTCCGCTTTTTTTGCTTTGAAGAGGCAACCTGAAAAATAAAAGATTATTACTGCTGAAGAAAAAGGTACTACGTCGGTTGGGGAGGGGGCACTTTTTTCCAAAACCACATTTTCTAGGGTAGTTTTATATGTAGATTCCGAAAAAACACAACGAGAGCTTGGGAAAAGGCGTTTTAAGCAGAGTTTCGGGGCTTCAAAGTGCGTGCTTCTATAGTTTACTTCACTTTATGGAGCCCAAGCTATCGACTTTGGTAAACAACAATATTTTTTGATCCAATTTGGTCATAAACGTAATCAGTGGGTTAAATTATGCCAGAAGAAGTGTTTTTGGTTTCCAAAAATGTTTTGGGAGACCATTTTTAGACCTCCTCACCACACCGCATGGGCGCGCACTTTGAAGCCCCGAAACTCTGCTTAAAACGCCTTTTCCCAAGCTTTCGTTGTTTTTTCGGAATCTACGCATAAAACTACCCCAGAAAAAGTGGTTTTGAAGAAAAAAGTGTCCCCCGCCCCCCAAACGGCGTAGTACCAAGAAAAATAATTAAACTTCTAAAAACAACGCCAAAAGAAACATTTGAAAAGTAAAAAGGCTGGCTACTTTAAGGTGAAAAGTAACAGGTGGCTACTTTGCGCAACTCACCATAACTTTCTTCTAAGTGGGCCAATCTTTATGATTTTGGTGTCATTTTGTAGATCTCAAGTGCAACAAAATGACACCAAAGTCATAAAAATTGACCCAATTAAAAGAAAGTTATGGCCAATTGCGCAAAAAAATTGGTGCAAAGTAGCCACCGCTAAGTAAGAGTGCTTGAATAGGTTTTTCAAGAAACAATTGAACGTGCAAAAGAGAAGATTCAATTTGCGCAACTTGCCTGCTTTTGACCTTACTTAATATAATTACATAATATATTAATATAATTTACAAAATGAAACAATCTAGAATTTCGTGATAAATAAGAGTGGGAAGTTGGGAAGTGGGACAAATGTGACCTTTTTTTGCGCACCCGTCCATTTGCGCACCTTGCCCATCAGCGCACCTTTTTTCGCGTTTTAAAAAGCTCTAAAAAGCTAATATTAACCAATTTCTATTCCAAAAGTTGTTTTTCTAGGTAATTTTAGGGCGTAGAATCGAAATTTTGACATATCAGAGCTTGTGGAAACAAACGGACGAAGTTATACAAAGAGAAAAATCAACAATTTTCTGTAATTTGACCTAGCCGTTTTGTCTTTCAAATTGGTTCCACACGCTCTGTTATGTCAAAATTTGAATTCGACACCCTCAAATTGCCTAGAAAAACAACTTTTGGAATAGAAATTGGTTAATATTAGCTTTTTAGAGCTTTTTTAAAACGCGAAAAAAAGTGCGCTAATGGGCAAGGTGCGGAAAAAAAAGGTAGCATTTGTCCCACTCCCAGAAGATTCAATTTGCGCAACTTGCCTGCTTTTGACCTTACTTAATATAATTTACTTAATATAATTACAATTACATATTAATATAATTTACAAAGTGAAACAACCTAGAATTTCCTGATAAATAAGAGCGGGAAGTTGCGAAAAAAATGATGGAGAATAACCAAACGACCTTCAAAAGTTGCGCCAAAGTTGCGTCACAAAACGACGTCAATTGGTGCATTTTAGGAATTTGAATATTAAGATAACATTTACATTTAAAGGTCATTTAAAGTCTTTTCGGTGATGTCGTAAAATCATTTCTGTATTCCTTACAGAAATGATTTTACGATCATTTCTGTATTCCTTACAGAAATGATTCCTACTACTTATTCGACTGTGGTTGGCGAGATGTTGTTTCGCAAAAGAAAGGAGGTTAGTTTTTTTAACTTTGGTTTTGCTTTGTTTACTCATTTGTGCAGCGATATTTCTGTTTGGTCTGCTTATCGTGAAGTTTCGATATCGATATCATTATCGGCATCGTTGCTTCTCGATATCGCTAATTTTGATAAAGTTCGACGTTCGATAAGTTTTGGTAATTGAAATCGAAGTCGACAAGAGGACTAATTTATTGTTAAGCAGTTTAACTTTGTGCATATATTATGTTGTGTTGAAAAATTATAAAATTTGTTTTTTTTTTAGGGTCGCGGAAATCAAGAAAATCGGAGAAGCGGTCCGAGAAACATGACAAATCAAAAAAAGTGGATGCCGGAGCAGCAAAGAATCAAGCCGTCACACCATCAATCAAGCGGACTAACTATGGCGATCGCTATGCACGAGCGAAGCCGTTGTCCCTCTGGTAAAGGTTAGATTTTGAATCTTTGAATCAAATTCTGTGATTATTTTAGGTTCAAGCTTTCGAATAAGATCGTGCTACCCGAGAAATTCGAGAAACTGCAGAAGACGCAATCGAATTCGAAGAGATCCATCCACATTAGGGTACACTTTTCTCTCTTGGTCATTTGATTGCTGTTGATTTGTTTGATTGCTTGATTGTTAAAGTTAAATGAGTATCGGTCAACTCGTATTGCCTATGATCCGTCGAATGATACTTTCAATTACATCAAATTCCTGGATATGCTGGATATGCATTACACGAAGTTTGGACCCGAGGTAGCTTGAAGATTTAAATACTTGTTAATCTATTGGTTTTAGGTGCACAACTTTCACTACAAAGAAGCAGAGGTTCTACACGTCATTCGAGCAGCCAAGTTTCTTTTTGCTAGTGAAAATAAGCTTCTACAGGTATAGCTGCTAATATAAATGTTATACTTTGCACTTCTTTAGGTGGATGCTCCAGGAATCATTGTGGCTGACGTCCGAAGGCAGCTTGATCTGATACAACGACTTGATCAACATTTTGTGACACTCGGAAGGCCACCGGAAAAGTGCGTCATTTACATTTCTGCACTATGAAATTCCTTTTTAGACGATTCGTCTTTTTGGGAGACTATGTTGACCAGGGTGCAATGAGTCTTGAATGTGTGCTACTATTTGCCCATAAAGTTTGTGTTATTTTTGGTATTTGAAATTGATTAAATTTGCAGGTACAATATCCGGATCACGTCTACTTGTTGGAAATCACGAGTGCGCGCGAACAAACAAATAATATGGATTTAAAGTATGTGTTTAACTTCTACAATATAAAGAAACTATTTTTTTGGAAACTTGCCTTGCACAGACGCAATTCGATGGGGTGAAGGTGTGACAAGAAGTGCAGGCTACTTGTCGTCTAAATATGCCCTAGTTATCTCAACTTTAGAGAACATTCAACTACATGTCGATCGCGGCCAGAATTTCGGAGATCTTTTGTGTGCACGGTGGAATCTCGCCACATCTTTGTGACTTCGATTGTCTTTTCTTTATATTTAGATGTGCTTGGATGCTATTGAACTTTTGCTAACAACAGAGTGATCACGTTGTTTTCGGCATCCGCTTATACAAATCAAGTGAGCTTTAGCAGATTTACCATTGATTATAATAGTTTTATTTTAAAAATGCTGGTGGTGTGCTTTATGTAAACGAGAAGCTGGACTGTCAACTCGTTGTCTACGTGCCTGATTGTGGACCCAAAGGGGTAAGTGCATTGTTCTTTCATTAGTTTTCATGAACATTGTATGTTTTAGGCAAAGAACCGCGTGGAAAGAATGAATCGACTGTGAGATACGGCTGTTGAGAGAATTGATGAGCCGCTAAATATCAACCCGCCACAAATCATCCGTTAGAAGCATTTTTATTAAAAATAAATAATAAAAATCGCGTACATTTTAGATAAATAAAGATTACCTTGAATTCTTGCTTTATATGTATGGTTGCTAAAGCTAAAGGGTCTTTCTGTATTTTAAGCTGTGTTTTGGCGAGCTTAAGTCGAGATATAAAATTGTCAATGCAAAGAAAAAGAAAAACAATGAAAAAAATTATAGTTACTAAAAAACTTTTGCAGAAAATTTGAATCGGTAATGGTTGCACTGGGTTATGAAAAGAATAAAATGGCAGAGCGTATTGGATTGTTTGCGTAAAGGGTTTTCGCTGTGGGACCACATGATCCCCTTTCGGCCAAACGTAAGAAAAAATTGTCGCGTAGAAATCGGCGAAGAGTTCGTTTTGGGCGTTTTTGCGAGCCGCTTTTTATAGCTAATCCGATATTTTTCTTATTTCAGGTATTCCTCTTGTAATCGGGCGATGAATGAGTCGCCTCCGACGTTTGAGAAGAAAAAGACAAAATCGGGATTACCGAGGGAGCTTCTTGCGGGTTGGGGAGCCGGATCGGTGGAAACATGTCTACTATATCCAGCAAACAAAATCATCTTTCGACAACAATTGCACGGTTTGAAAGTGAGCATTGTTTATTGTCTTTATACCGATCTTGTTGGATGTTAAGATTTTTAAACAAAACAAAAGCAAATTACAGTTTGACCTAATGCTGTGCCAAGCTATGGGTTTAAATTTGCTATTGAGGGATTAGATTATTTTAATTGATATTAAATCTTAAGCTATGTGTTGAACAAGTAGTTAAATACTAACAAGACTTTATTAAGGAAATTTTAAAGTATCAAGCGAGAAGAAGTTAGATAGTTGACTCAATTAATGGCGTTTAATTATTTACCTCATTTAGACGGGACCGGCTGCTGCCCAACTACGCTCCGAGGGGCTGCAGCTGTTGTTTCGTGGCCTACTTCCGCCACTCGTGATGCGATCCTTATCGAGAGCGCTAATGTTTGGACTCTATGATCGTTTTGTCAGCCAATGTGCACCAATGAAAGGTAAGGTGTCTAGTCATTTGCTGCTGGAATATTTTTTCAGCTTTTCAGCCTGTATTCGTATATTGTTAAAGAGCTTTGACTATAAAGTTGCATTTTAGGGATACTTCTTACGTCTCCTTGCCATTGTGCGGCCGCTTTTCTTGCCGGTGTCTGTGAAGCGATGCTATGCCCTTTGGAGAGAGTACAAGTGCTGTTACAAACGAAAGAATTTCATCATAAATTTGAGGTAAGATAATTTTGTTAGCTCGGTATCAAATTTTTTAGAACACATTAGCGGCTTTTCGTTACGTTCAATCAAAACATGGATATCGCGAGTTTTGGCGTGGCTTCTCGGTGATCGTTGCGCGAAACGGCTTATCTAATATCTTTTTCTTTGGTCTACGAAATCCGCTCAAAGATGTGAGTTTATCATTTCTTGGATTCGATCAATTTTATTATTTTTTAGATAATACTGCAAATGAATGGCGGATCGGTACTTGATACTGGGACACCTCGTGTGGTGGCCGAGTTTGTGTCGGGTGCAGTGCTTGGAACAACGATATCGACTTTCTTCTTCCCTTTCAACGTTGTGAAAAATAGGATTCAGTCACAGGTTTCTTTTTTATCAGCATTTAAAAATTATATCACAAGGAATAAGTCTTTCACACGAAGACAAGCTATTTGTGACAAATTGCGTCGTTTATCTATTATGGCTTTAGGGAAATTAAAATGAGAGCAATAAGTGTAGAAAGTTTCTTTTATAGAAAATTGTTGTAGGAGAATTAAATTTGTGTACTCGAAATCGGTTTTTATATCATTTTCTTATAGATTGGTGGTCCTCGCCAAGACGGTTTCTCGACGCTTCAACTGATTTTGAAAGAACGTGGATCAATTTTTGCCCTCTATCACGGAGTACATATGAATATCGGCCGATCACTCATTGCCTGGGGCATCACCAATTCAGTTTACGAGTTTTTGCATCGACGCTTTTTAGTATTAGGCTTATAGGAAAATGTAGTTTAGTTGATTAGTTTTTATTCTTTTGCACATATAGAACCTGTTGATTTTGGCTTAGCATGAAGATTTTCTTTTAAAAAAACTTTTGCTTAGATAAATGCTCAATTCACTACGAGGTCTTTCTTTAAACTAGTTCTGTGTCATTTGGTCTTCTTTTGTTTTGCTCAGCTAGTCATTTTGTTCTCACTGATTGCCATCATCTACCGAGTTTATACTATTCATGTCTTTTATATTCTCTTAAATACTTTTTTCTTTGAATTTTTAACAATTCTAGACGATATTCACCTTGAATTCGGGTTTTTCTCTTCCGATTTCCCTCGTTCAGTCTCATGTTTTCTTTGATTTCTCTTTTTTCGGTGTTCTTTTTGAGATTTATAGTTAATTAAAGAAATTTCAGGTATGAAACCAGTCAAAGAAGTTGGTGACTGGTCAGAACAAACGTCGTCAAGTGGAAAGCGATATTATTACAATCGGTAAGGTGTTTTTTTTGTACATTCAAAGACTAAATGTACTTTAGGAATTGTTAAATGCTTATCAAGCTTATTTTTATAAAGTTAAAAAGAATTTATTCAGCTCAATTTTTTTAGATCGACAGAAGTATCACAATGGGAAAAGCCCGAGGAATGGAAAGAGTACGAAAGAAAGCTTGAAGAATATGACCGTTTACAGGTATTTTTCTGCCAAATTGACACATTTTATATGTCTATTTTAGAAACGACAACAACCGATGGGTTATTCAAACAATACTCGACCACAACAGGCCGCTGCAGCCACTGTTTCAGGCTCACAAATGTATCAGGTATGTTTTAGTTGGAAAAAAGCCTTTTGGCTGGAAAATTTGAAGGAAAAATACTTTGAGTTGATGCTCAATTGATGTGAACCCCGAAATGAGCAAACAATCTTTTGAATTGCTTTATAGAAATATATGCTTTTAGGCAGGCTACCTCGTCCCTCATCCACCACCACCGCCGCCTCCAACGTCTTCGTTAAACTTGCACACTGGTATTCACTTTCGTTTCTTCTAATTTTTCTATTTCTTGTTGTATTGTAGTAACTGGCCACCCATATTCAAATCCGTATGGACCCGGGCCGATAGCTCCTCAACTCTCATTTTCGATGAATAATGTGTCACAGCATATTGGTGAGCGTTTTCGTGATTGTTTGTATGCACCGTGTAGTCTATCAAATTGTTTAGTTAATCCTTCACTTTTATTTTTAGCTGCTTCCAACAATTCATCGTCACCAAAGGCGCATCCAGGACAATTCCACAATTCGTCGAATGCTTTAAATAACCGAGATGGGCGAGATGGAAACAAAGATCAACGAGGTGAACGGGAAAAGGAACAACGCGAGAAAGACATTGCTGGGTGAGTTATAAAGCAGTAAATTTTTAATATATGCAAAGTGGCCGAAAATGGTCAGAATACTTTTAAAAATGGATGAAGAAATAGTTTAGGGTTGATTTAAAGAATGTTCAAAAAAAAAAGTTCCCCATTTCAACTCAAATTTCTGAAAAGGTTTAAGTGGCTCAAGGTCTTGGTGTCAAAGCTGTTTTTTTGACGTCGCAATTTTTGACTTTTTTTGGAGATTTCCCTGATTACATGACCCTTCATACATGACATTTCTAAGCCACCATGGCTGCCATCACCATAAGATTTTTGCCATAAAATTAAAACTTTCTACTGGCACCGTGGTGCATAATAAACATTATTAAGATGACTACAAATTAAAAAAACCATACATTTTATTGATCAGCGTTTCCTTGGAAAAACGGGACACTTCTTTTAAAAAGGCGAGTTGAAAATCTCTTATGTTCAACAGATTATCATATAATGTAGGTGAATAAAGTGTTTGGCTAAAAATCATAGTTTATGTATTAACTCTAATATGACACCACGAAGCCAGTAGAAAGTTTTAGCTTGATGACAAAAATCTCATGGTGGTGGTGACCATGGTAGTATGGGAAATTTTTTGTATAGAGGATCATGATATGGTAAAAATCATGACAAAAGATCAAAAATTTGCGACCTCAAAAAAATCATTTTTGCACCATACTTTGAGCCACTTAAAGTTTTTCAAAAATTTGACAAAAAGTGACTTTATTTTCGGACACCCTGCACATGAGCCATCATGGTTCCCCCAGAAATTTCATGTAAGAGGGGTCATGAAATCAGGAAAATTTCCAAAGGAAAAAAATTGCGACGCCAAAAAAACAGCTTTGACACCAAGACCACCACCTTGAGCCACTTTTCGGAGATTTGAGTTGAAATGGGGAACTTTTTTTTTTGAACACCTGTATTGAGCCAAAACAAAGAATTTTTCAGCTATCGAGATCGTAAGCGGCCTTACCCACGAAACTCGCCACGAGAAAAAGACCGAGAGAATCGGGAATTTCTTCAAAAGGATAAAGAAAGAGAACGGGAGAATTTCCGAGAACTCAACACAAATGCCCACGTAAGCTTTTATAGGATACTGGTGAAAGCAAAGCCAAAATGCATAAATTCATACAACTTTCTAGGTGCCAGCTTATCGAAACTCTACTCCAGCTTACCAAAATGAGACGAACGATAACCCGTCAAGCTCAAGCATTTTCGAGAACAAATATCCAAAAACAAAGATAGAGGAAAAGCCGAGATATGGCGATGAAAGAGCGACGAAAGTGGGTTTTGATATAAAACCTAATAAAGTTTTTCAATTTTACGTAATTTTTGAACATGTTTTTATTTAGTTCTCTCGTGGTCTCAGTGACGATCAAATTGTAAAACAACATGTGAATGGAAGTGCTGCAAAACATGGTAAGACCTTTGTTGGGAAAAATTGTTGAGACAAATTTCATTTAGCTCCGCCAAACGATTTTGATAATCGGGATATAGAGGGTGGCTCTGTGCCAATGGATATCGAGGAGGAACGGACGGAAAGCAATGTAGGTTTTTAATTCGAAAAGCCTTCTTGAACAGATCCTCGTTTTACAGAATTCTATTCACGAAGAGCACAAAGAAATTTCCCATTTTTTGGTAGGGTAAAAGTGTTGTGATCTGTTTCGATGATAGTCTTTCGATTTCGATCTTTGCATGTAAAATTGTACGACTTTTCAACTTTTCGTGTTTTTTCAGGTGGTTGCAACGGATCATATCAAGAATTTCAAGAAGCGATTCCGCCCACCATTTGGCCCATTGAAACCAAAGGATCCAACGGTATGAATTCATAAAAGCTCACCTAAATTCTGTTCTTTTGCTCCATGAGTTGTTGTGAATAGAATTGAATTCAAAACCAAGACTACAAAATTTGGGACAATTGAACTGCTGTTGAACTCTGCTTTATTTTATTTGGGCATTTCTTTTTCAGTTAGATGATGAAAGACTACTTATCCAAGAGATGAGCGGCGAAAAGAAGCGACTCATTGAGTGGGTTTTCTTTGACTTTTGGCTAATTCAAATGTTTTTTGGTTTAGAAATGGACAATCGATGTTGAGACTCTATCAAACACAGGCTCTCTCGCAGATGTGTCGAGTGAAAGCAGAAGTGCTGAACATTCGCCTCAGAAATAATGTAAGTAAAGTGGATTTTTGATGTTAAAACATAAAACAAACAGGAATAGGCTTATTTTTGAGGGGAGCACATAATGGAAATGTTTCTAATTATTCAATTTTAGAGAGAAGTTCAAAAATGGATTGAATCGCGTCGACGGGGTGACTCGATTGCCGTCGTTTCAACTTCAACTGCAGCCACAACCGCATCTGCGGCAAATGTTGTCTCTTCAGCGATCGCGGGATTGAACTCCGATCTAGGCCTATCGAATGTGATGTCCTCTCCGCTTCGATTAGATAATTATAGCTAGGGTTTGTTGTTCGTGTCGTCATATTGCTTTTCTCCACATAATAATCTTTCTCTTTTCTCGGTTTGTGTCTTTTTCTCCCTCATTTTCTCTTTTACTTCACTCGTTATTATAAGCACTTTTATGTGCAAATGTAAAGCTACAATATTTTATTCTTAGTTGTTCTTCCAATAAACGCTCAAATTGTTGTTTTTTGGTAAGGACGACTCGAAATATGGTGTACTAATTTATTTCTCTTAACTACAAATCTTTTGATGAAAATATGGGGGTACTTTTTGCGACCGTTATTTGATTGGCTACTTGTTTTCTTTCTTTGTTCTACTCGTCTCTTTTGCTTTCCCTAGGCCTTTTCTGAATTCATTTCTATGTTCATTTCATTTCATTATTTATCTACCATCTTCCGAGTACTTTTTGTTTTCTTTTCTGATCTCGATTTTGTGTATTTTGTGTAGCTTTTTGGGAACCTCAATAAATTTTCTCATATGACATGACTTGAAAACAAAAGAAAGTAACAAAAATAACGATAAAATTGAGAAAGAGATCAACGAGCGCATTCACTTCTCGAGTGGATGATAATTGAGGAGTTTTTCGATGAGATCGACGTGAGCGAGAAGCATCCTTCGACAACAGTATCTCCTCAAATTGAGTGCATCGAGTGCATCACCTAAAGAGGAAAGTTGAAGTCGAGCTTTCGTATCGAACAACAACCAACCTTCCGTGTATTCTGATTGAAGTAGACCAAGATATGCTTCCCATTTGTTCCCAATCACTTTTCCGCACGTAAAGCACCGAATCGGGATGATCATTGCTAAACGAAGATTTAGAAAGCAAGAACGATTTCAAGAGTTAAGATATACGGGCATCGACCCAAAAAATTTGACATGCATATAGAAATAGACCTTTATTTACTAGAAAATACCAAAGATTCAACGAATTCACACCATAAATCGCAAGTTATCACAGGAAAACGAAAAGCTGATATGAAAACGGAAAAGAGATCATTTAATTAAGAAGTTATCCTAAAAAACTAAAAAAAATATTTACATTCCGCTTTTGAGCACCTTTTTCAGAAGGAGATTTTGCAATTCGGGGACTTTTTGAGCCTCGTCCGTCTTGAGGAACATACGTTGATCGCGAATGATGTCGCCCCAAAGGTTTCTAAAAGGAGGCAAATTGTTACAACACTTTTTGAGCAATTGATTAAAAGTCTATAAAAATCAGCCGTTAGTTTTTCTAAATGCCCAATTGTTAGACAAATCTTCTTTCTTATCGACAATGGCATCAAAAAAAATTCACAAAAAAACCAACGCATTTTCGCATTTTTGGCACTTTGCCTCGACGGGCCAGAGGTAGCGTTGCTTCTTCGTTGAAAGTGCCCCATTTGCCCAGCAAATAAGATGATGCTGGGCACGACACGAGAGACATCGACCGAGCTGACGTAGCTGAAAACAAGAACAATTTATCCGTTTGCTCATCAACAAAAACATACCTCTACAATAGTTTTCCCGCAGATCAAACACTTCTGCAATGACTCCAATTCATCGAATCCTATTGGTACCTAAAAAAATTCATCAAAAAAAGTGCCAATAAAATCTCACCGCTGTTTTCCCACATTCGATTAATCCATAAGCGACTCGCATTTGCGGTGGAAAAGGGACTTGTGGAGGAAACGGGATTTCTTCTTTCTAAAATCTTACTTACATATAAAAAAAGTATCGAATACACTTACCGGAATGAGCCATTGAAATGTGAGGGCCAAATCCTTCCAACGATCGCAATTCATCAGATAGCATGCGATTCGAATGCTAAGATAAAAATTAACATAAACCTCTTTACATTTGTATTCTACATTATTTACATCTACATTTACCAAATTTACATTTATCCCTCAAATATAACGCAATCGAGCCAAGCAAACCATATTCATAGACTACTCGAACTCGTTTCAATTTCAGATGAGCGCAACATGTCGTGGGTTTTTTCGTTTCTTTCTTTTGTCTTACTTTTAACGTAAACCTTATAAAGTTCAACTTTTTGTTACAAAACTTTGTTAAAACGTCTGTATTCAGTCAAATTGAGAAACAAAATGCTTCTTAAACCTTGCGACAATGATGATATGCAAACTTTAGACTGGTGAACGATTTTATCTTCATTTTATAACGACCTTGTATTTCTAGTGAACCTTCAGTTTCTACAGCAATCAGTCTACAAAAGTTTCTTTTCTTAGACTCTATTACTAATTTCTCATTTAGTTCAGCCCTCGATGACACATCGGCTGGACATTCGCCCACACGAAACCTCGATTTTTCCACCTCCATCACCCACGTTTCGCGTTCACAAATGTGGAAAAACAACGGCAGGGAAAAGTTCGTTTTTTTTCAAAGGCTAGAAAGCCAGAACTTAGCTGGGGTTTTTTGATTTAAGGGATATCGTCGAATTTTACTAATTCTTGCTTTCTCTAGGAAAGTTTCTTCGAAAACCGGCATCTCGATGGATCGCCTGAAATCGAGACAAAGCTCGGATCAACGCTCGGAAAATGCGTTAATAAAAGCGAATCCTTCAGCAATCGGTAAGCTTTCTCTGTCACTTACATATTCATTTTCTTTTAGATCAACCACTCTACGTTTCGCAGCTCCCCAGCTTGCAAGCCCTCCAAAAAGGAACGCTTTTTGGAAGGAGCAAACTTTACAAGATGCAGAGGTTGATTTCTATGTGATATCGTGGATTTTTCGACTTTAGTCCCGTGAATGAGTGCACATGCAATGTTGAGAGATCAGTCGCAGACAAGCGATCATCCACACAAAACGGTAGTCTTTAGGGTTGAGTGGGCTTAATCGAATGTTTAGGCATCACAGGTCAACCGGTAGTTCACGTCGAAAGGATTGATCAGGAAACGGAGTCTCAAGTGAGCCCATTTTTTTGACTACCTATTGCTCAAAAATAGTCTTTTAAGGTGCGAATCAGATTGCGCGTGTATGCCCAGCCGATGGTCAAGAATAAAGGCCAAATTACTGGATGGATACCCTCAGAGATGACCTTAAAGAAAGCCGACATCATCCTCGCCGCGAATCGTAAAAAATGAAATTCGTCACTGCACTCCACCAACTTATCCCCAAACTCGAAATAAGAATCGCCTTGAACAATTTTAATGCGCCAATAAAGTTTCTTCTGTTGCGTGTTAAAATCTTACTTACTTGTGCGCAAATGTTGTTTCCTTTGCTTCTTTCTTGTCGAGACATTTGCCCTTGATGGTGACACTCTTGCCCGGATTTTGCCAGGCCCATTCAAATTGAAGAGTAGAGATTGCGTTGGGGAATCCATGAATGATGCAAGCCATATCCCTAAAATTACTTGTTTATCTATGTTTATCTGCAATTCATCAGTGCCGCAAAAAAAACTCGCCAAGGTCCCCTGTCGTGGGTCTTTTTTGCGCCACCCTTGTCCATGCCTCCGTTGTGCTGTTCAATTCGTCGATTTGGGTCGGTTGTTTTTCCAATGTAGCACCGATTCTAAACGATTTGCTACTTTGATTAAACACAAGAACCTACTTTCCACCTCGGTTTATTGCTGCGATTAATGAGGCAGTAGACTCCGAAAAACTCGTTGACAACAAACGTCCGCTTTGGTGGTCGTGTAGGCTGAAATTTGGTTTGTGAAAATTTACCAAACTCATTCGATTACCTTTGGTAAGACTCGTTCCTTGACAGGTTTTGCGGGAGTAAGGCAGCCTTCTGTAGATTTCCTTTTCTAAATTTGAAAATAAGAATAAGAATCTGCTTATAGTATAAAATACATTAGAATACGGTTGATTTTTAGTCTCCATACAAAAATAAATACAAAATCATAAGAATTTTTGAATAGCTTAGTAATTAATCAAACTTTTTAACTACCCGATTCTCAGGCTTAACTATTGGAGTCAATTCACAATGCGAGTAGCTTCGTCTTCTTAAACTAAATTTAAGAGATTAAATTTTTAAAAAGTTCTAATACTCACCTTAGAGAATTCCCAGGAACTTGAGTGGAGCATTTGGCATTTTTGGACACAGATCTCGTCGTACTTTGGAAGCGCCGCTCTAAACCAAGAAATTTCAGTGTTTTTTACGAGTGCCAAGATTTAAACAGAATGGCTGAAAGCTTCAGCCATATTTCTTCAAGATTTTAGAATCATTATTAGCTATACAATTGCTTTACATAAATTTAAACGAACTTGTACTCGTTATTGGCGTAGAATACTCGTCCAGAAACAGCGATCTCTCCTCGCTTTCGTCAACCTTCGACGGGCCTGCCTCTTCGTCGGAATCCAGGCAAATTGTTTGGTTTGACTCCTAAATGAAACTTTATGAGTTGTTCTAAAACCGAATTTACCTTGATTGGCGTATTTTGTTCACCACCGTCCCAAGCGTTCCAATGATTATCGTAGTCGGGAATCGGGTCGAATTGCCAATCCAAATCCTCCATTTTTCGACACGTTCTAAACCTAGTCTTTATTTCAATAAACAAACAATTTGGGACAAAACAACACAAAAACATGATAAACACAACAATTCTATTCGATCTACTAACACTAGTCAATTGCCACTCCGACTTGTGCGGCGCGAATCGGTCGGCCCTTCAATGAGTAGCCAATTTTCGAAACAAAAGCAATATTTCCAGGCTCAACGTTGACGCTCTTTGCGGGTATTTGTGTGATTGCTTCATGAAGATTCGGATCGAATTTTGTGCCCATCGGATCAACGGCCGTCAAACCGTGTTTATCAAATATTTTCAGCAACACCCGCTTTGTCATCGAGATTCCCTCGTAAATGTCCTGCAGTTGTTTCCCGCCTTCATCCAAATCCTCTTTCTTTATGCTGCCCATGGCGAGATCAAGAATATCTGCCACCTCAAGGAGATCCTTGCAAAAGCCCTGAATAGCGAAAGTCTTCGCGTCATCGACTTGCTTCACACCACGTCGGCGAACATTTTCCATCTCGGCGAGCGCTCGTTGATATTTGTCCTTGAAATCGGCACTCTCATTTATCAAAACATCGTATTCACTGATTAACGAGAGAACATTTTTGGCCGGCAATGCCCATTCATCCTTGTCTCCATTCTCGAAAGCTTTTCGCACATTTGCTAGGTAATTTTCTCCAGATATTCGTTTCCCATTGTCGGTTAGTGGCAAATCCAAGTTCTTCTGTTCCTCACTGCCCGTTGCATTTGTGCTTTGATGCCGCGTCGATAGGGTTTTCGTAAATTGTGCCGAACCCCGTGCCTCGATCGTCGACGGAATGATGCCGGAAAGACGACTCAAAGCTCGCAGAAACATTGGCAACTAAAGACTACTTCAATACTATTAAATCAAATGAATTACAGGGAGAAAAGCAAATTTGAAAAGTTCAAGAACGCCGTTTGGCCGGCCCAAAAGCCATTTCGAATTTCATCATTTTGCATCATCAAACTTTACTTCAAACAACACGATATACAATTACTATTATCAAATACCCATATCTTTTTCAAAGTGAATGACTGAATAAAAAAATAACATACAACAATAAATTAAAAACGAGATCCGGCAAAATGAGATTGCTTATTGGCGATTTCGAAGTTTTGAACTCGTTTTTGTAGAGCTTGCAGTGACCGGACTGCTATCGTAAACAACTAAAATAGTACGCTAAACAGGTAAAATGGCTAAACTTCTTCACTTTCCTTAGAGCTGATTTACCTCTTTAACGCGTTTAGATGCATCCTCTTTGGCTCTCAACAAAACCACATCGATCGCCCAATAGGGTAGAAAAACTCGCACATCCGTGCCCACCAACTAAAATGATTTCAACATGAATGATTTCAATACTATCTCACAAGTTTCTATGAAAAAACAGATCGACCCACTTTTCCCATCATTGGTTCTGTGTAGGCAATTAAGACTTTCAGCGCATCTTCGTTTCGACCAAAATCGGAGAGCAGCTGGAGATAAGCTCCTACATCATGTTCCTAAAAAACAATTAAAAATAGGTACCGGTACACGGATTTATAATTGAAACTCACTAGTAAGCTAAATTGTAAACATTTACTTCAGCTCAAACCTAAAATTAACACTAAAACTAACCGTATACATAGAGTCGAGCCAATACGGTAATTGAACCTTGTGCCGTAAAAGTTCTTCAGCAATTGAATGCAACGATGTTGTTATCAGTTCTGACCGAGCTTTGATTATCGTATCCAACAACCCTCTGACCACTTCCCAGGGATCACTAAAAATTTTTTATTACTTTTGTCAAAGCTTTCAACATGGGTGCATTTATTTTGTGGTTTACCTGCTTAGCTTTGCTGACACAAACATTTGACCTTCGGCCAATATTTCATGGTTCTGATCAAGCTTCAACGTTTCCACCACAAGCCCGTGAAGAACTTTAACCAACGAAAAGTCGAAGTGTCTAAACCAGTCAGTTCAATAAACTCTTTAAGCTTTTTTTTCAAACCTTGCAAATCCTAATGCGAGATTGAAGCGACGAGTCTCCAAAAGAAAATTGAAAATATCTTGGGGATCGGATGGAGGAATTGCTTGCTTTTCATCCCAATAGATCACTCGCCCGTCAATCAAAGCCCACTAAAGGCAAAAAAGATATAAGTGAACAAACGTAGTACCTACCTCGCGTTCAAGCCGCTCCTTGCTAATGTAGGAAATATTGGTCGTTTCGGGCTTTTTCTAAAATATTCAATTTGACGTTCTGAAGTAATGGTAGCATGCTACTGAACATTAAAAGTTTACCTTTTCCTTGATTATCCAACTCATTGATGTTCCTTGCGAATCGGTTTCATCCATGCCTTCATCATCGGCAGACGTAGATGATACGCTACTCTTTGCACTCTAAATACGTCAAATGAAAAATAATCTTTTAAAAACAAACATCCGAGGTTTCGGTGAAAGGAAAACCCTCGCGCTTGCTCATATTCAAGTACATCACCGAGGCAGACAGAGCATCCCGCCGTTTAGCAAGAATCTATAAGACACTGAACATAAAATGAACAAATTATTTTACCGTTGGATCTTGTGTTAATCTCTTTAATTGCTCGGACCAATGATACAACGTTTTCGAAGCTAAAATAAACTGGCAGTTGGTTCAAATTTTGATAAGCTCCACCTTGCACGTAATCCTTTTGAGCTATGTAGAAAGCGACCATCAACTCGTAACAATTTGGCGTCACGTTGGGCGGTTGGTTGAGGGCTTTCAGCGTCAGTTGGGAAATAACCTAAAGCGACAAATGGTAATAACTATCAAACAATTGTCGGATTCAAATATGCTTACTTCATCAGAAAACTCGTCCCAAGAGATCTTTTTACAAATCGTTTCCCATTCTTGTTGCTGAAGCAATCTCGCCAACAGCTCGCGGAGCATATTTTGCCTCGAGTGGGCACTCTAAAAATGTTTAGATTGAAACTATTCTCATTTTTATAGTTCGAAAAACGTAAATCTGTTTGATACTATCTTCAAACAATACAACACTGAATTCAAACTTTGCGGAAAATTTGCATTAACCAACCTTACAAGCCCGTATTGTATTTATGGCCTCTTTCCATTCGCGGTCTTCTATCTCTTGAAAAAACAGACGAATTTGTAGATTTTCCTAAAAATTTATTTTAATAGACAAATCAAATCAAATGAATCACCTCAGCATCTCCGCCAGACACACCGGAGAATGATTTTTCAATCTCGAGAGCCATGCTATAGAAAAAGTTATTATCCCAGTTGCTCAATTTAATCACGAACCAAAGTGTTACAATTTAGATACAATCATGTCGCAAAACATGAACATCAATGAAAATTTAGTCATTTTTCAGCTTTATTGACATTCATAAAATAACAATAACCAACAAAAAAGTACAAAGCAACTATACAGCAATTCTATTTTATCTAAACGGCTCACTACAAAAAAGCAAAATATAAATTTACGTTAAGTGACAAAAGAATTACGTTTCCCTAATCAGTTTATTTCCTTTTGCGCGTGGTCGTTCATTCATTTGTTCGGTGGCCTTGTCAAGTTTCTTTATCGTGGACCCCTCGTTCTCTTTTTCAATTTCATCCATCTGCGCCAAAAGTGAAACAATTTTTTTCTAAATTTTGCATGTTTTTTTTTGTGGAGAGAAAAGCTAACACTTACCGTTAATCGAATCTGATCCTTTTTATGCTCCAACTGTTCTTTCGAGGTGAACGGGCAAGGTCGATTGTCTAAAAACAACTTATTACCGAATTCTTCTTTTAAACTAACCTCGTAGAGTGAAATCAGGACCAACTTTCAGAGGGTGAACGTACGGTCCCACATAGACTCTAAATTATTAACGTTATATTCTTACCCGGTTTAAAAATTACGGTGGTTTATTCGTCTTGAATCGTCCTACTTCTCGGCTGTGATTTTCAATGGTTTTTACATTGAGATGAACCTAAAAATGATAATTATTAATGCCAGCAAATTTCCCGAACAGTTAAAACACTATTACCTTGCCGTCCATTGGATCAAATTTATTTGTTGAGCTGGTTCCCGCCGATCTTGCCGTAATCCGCATCAAAAGCGTTCTACATAAAGTCTTCATCTAGCTAAATGTGTATTTTTCAATTGACATTACATGATGTATGGACCCTAGTTTGGCATACATCTAAACACGCATATAAAATAACAGTATAACTCGTTTGAATACAATAAATATTTTGAGCAGTCAACCAAAAATATTTATTTGAACACAAAATATAACAATAACGTACGCATAAATAAAAAAATATTGTTTGGGTTTATTTAGCAGGCGTTTATTACGCCCACATCTTAATATCACCGTCCCAGCTCGCCGATATCATCTTGCTCTTCTCGTGTGGATGCCATAAAACACTGATACATGTTTGAGCGTGAGCCTTCCATCTAAAAGTAAATAGATATACCCTATGTCAGTGTAGTGACGGTTTAATAACTTTAGATTTGAAGCACGGCTTAATATCAATAAAAATCAAGGCATTTCGTAAGAGTCCTTACCTTCCAACAATTTTATGCGTGCGCCAGTCCCAGATGAAGATTTTTCCGTCTGCATCTCCACTTGCAAGGAAGCTAAAAACAAATGTAATTAAAACAATAATAAGCAAGAATCTATAAAAGCTGCATTGGTATGACATGACAGGCTTCAATCTCCAGTCAGCAAACAATTCAAATTTTAACTGAGCCTTACATAGGAACTATGTTTCCCTTCTCACTTACCTCATATCTGGTGAAAAATCAATCGAGCAAGCATAGCCGGCTGAATTGTGGCCACGGAAGGCTTTCTTTTTGGCGAATCGCAGCTTGTCATCAATCAGTTGGAAGAGCACGATTCTGTTGTCCATCGACTGTCCAACAATCCACTTGTCTAAATCGATAACAATTAGACAATTATCAACCAGAATTCATATAGTTAAGCAGGTTTCCAGAAAAAGTCTATAAGAAAGGTTTAAAAAGTACCAGTAGGGCTCTTTGTCATGCATGGAATCGATTGCAATCCAACATTTTGAATCAACTTTGTGTCGACCGGGATTTCCCACTCCCAGATACGCAGAGATTTATCATCGGATGTAGAAACAAAACGCCGATTTTTGTCGAAGAACGTGATGGAATTGATAGGGCCAAGATGACGATCATATTCCTAAATTTTAACAATTAATAAAAATTTAACGAAATCCAACGTACTTGTACAACTTCTCCTGATCGAATATCCCATTGTACAATTTTCTTATTCTGCATTCCACCCATCAACATATGGCGCTTGTCCTCATCCGGATGAAATCTCAAACAAACAGGCGGATGTCCAGTCGTGAATCTGTGTTTAACCTAAAAGTGGAAAATTTAGAAATTTTTGCTTTTAAAAAACCTGTCCCGTCTCCGTATCCCACAACTTAATGTATCTGTCAAATGATCCAGAAACAAAAGAGGATCCATCGTAATCGAAAGCAACATCTCGAACGGGCATCCTGTGTCCACTGTATGTTCGCACCACTTGATGTTTCCCATAAACTTCCCATAGTTTAATCTAAAACTCAGATCTTGAACAGTAAAACTAGTAGTCACACCTTTGTATCCATTGAACACGATAAAAACAGATGAGCGCTTTTCGGAAACCATTTGAGTGTGTTTATTCCTTTGTTGTGTCCTTTATAGGTGTGCATCTAATAAAATACTTTTTAAAATTTTGTGATCAAGCCTTCAAACCTGTTTCTTAGGAATAAAGCATCGATCGGGAACAAAGTCCTCTTTAAGATTGACACCGGTGAATGTAGGCACATGAAGGAATGATCTTCCTTGATAATCGATGGCTTCTTTCACTAAAAGCTCAGTTTAATGTAAAAAAGTCCACCAAAATACTCACGATGCAAGGTTGTCGTTTCCTCCACATTTCCTTGTTCTTCCAAAGCTTGGCGCTGTCCTTTGCGACTGTTCTAAAGACAAAATTAGTAATTTCAAAATTGCTTATAAACTGCTTGCCTTTTGTCTTTTCTTGACAATTTCGTCCATTTCCTTTTGTAGTGCTTCATCGGGTTTAGAGACGGTTACCTGATTCTCATATCTTGCCCAAGGACCTAAACGGAACAATTTTTATTTAAAATTATGAACTTGGAGTAACCTGTATATCCCTCGAGATCAGTTGGGTCAAAATTATACACTCGCTTCCGTTTCTCGCCCCCAGTCTTTGACCCGTCAAACAAAGAGGCACCATCGGTTTTAGCGCCTTCAGTAGCTTTTTCTCCGAGAAACTCATGGCCACCTATGACTTTAAAATGAAGAAAACAATACATCCAACTTACCAGCATTTGCTGAAGGATTACGAGCGTATCCAAGCGTGTTGAAAGAGCGAATTTCTCGCTCAAAATGAAAATCGTTTATATGGGCCGGTTCAACAAATCCTACAAAAATAAATGTTTTTGCTTTTTAATTTGCGATACCTGCTAGCGTATTTTTCTTGGCACTTTGCCGGTCGGACTTAAACGGATTAGACGGACCAGCCTAAAAGAAAAATTAACAAGGGAAAATAATAATTGAAAACCTCGGGTTGAAAAAGTTCTTCAAACTTCGGATTGTAGCTGAGTTCTTTTTTTGTCACGTCAGCGATCGGTATTGTTAGTATTGAGCTCTTCGTCATAACATCTGGTGCCATCTAAATAAAACTAAAATCACAGTCATATAAAGTAAAAATTACCTGTAGAGCTAATGATTTTGTTGGAAGGCTCGTTATTTCTTTGTTCACTTCGACGTCACCCTCATCGTCATCCACATTGTAGCTGCTGAGTAGATCCATGGCTAAATAGAAGTGAATATGTATGCACGTGAAACTTTAAGTATTTTTAAACAAAGCGATCTTTCTAAAAAGTCTGTTATTGCAATAGTTCGAAAATTCAAAAAATGTATGCTCATAAAGCCACTGTCTGTCAGCGTTTATAGGCGCTTTTCGTCGCGTCAAAAACCCTCAAAGTGGCATGTAATTGAAAGCAAAGCCATAATTCATTTACTTTAGAAATAGATTCAAGGTAACACATCCAGTACCAAGATCGTGGCCAAAAAATAAAACCATTAGACCAAAGCGTTTACTACAATTAGTGTTTACTACATTTTTGAAAGCTCGACAACCCGCAAAACCATTTTTAACATCATTCACAGATACTTAAACGGACCATGAAAGCCAGTTTATTTAACTTGTCATTTTGCCGTAACAATTTATTAAAAACTAACTCTAAAAAGCAATTGAAAATAAAAAGATGGAACACCATCAAAAATAGAAAAACAGCATTAGAAATTTCTCAACTGGCTGATGGGTCTTGTTTGCGCGGTCCACTACTCTTATAAACAGCGGCATCACGTTCGGCTTTCAAACGTCGCATCTGAAGCTCTTTCTCTCCCAATATGGCGTACAACTCGGAAATGGTAGTCGTGTGTTCACACACTTTCTTCTTCAAAACAATAACTTCTTCATTTGCGGCATCAAGGGCTCTCTTCAGTGGATTGATAGATGGAATACTCAAGGGTAACATCTTTGGAATTTCCGGCTTATTGCCGTGAATTGGCCTAATTTGAAGCATTGGCCTGTTCTTCCCAATAAAACTTTCCTTTTCACCATCAGAATCCACGAGTGCTTGAGCAAAAACGTCCTTTTTTGTTTGACCTCCAGCCGATTTCACTGGTTCTTGCTTCATCAGACCTTGTTTTAGGAAGAGAGGAGGTCGAATCTTGATCTCTCCGTCACTGGCCACAGTTGTCTTTTTGCGGGGAGAGTCGAAGATTCCCCGAAAGAGCCCAGCCAAAGTCGAGTTTTCGATCTCGTCGTCCCGAAAATCGATATTTGTAGAGTCATCATGAAAACTCGGAGAAGGTCGTGCATCAGCCACAAGGTCACCCTTTGGCATATGAAATCCCAGAAGTCCTCCAATGTTGTCTTCGTCACCTGCCTTTTCCTTGGAAAAATCCAGACCCAAGCTTACGAACAGGTGATCATTGATTCCAAGTCCTAATTTCCTCTCAGTGCTTGGCCTGTTGCTTCCTGTGGACATTGAGCCTGATCCGGCTTTCATAGCTTCCTCCAAATTGATAAAGTGAGATTTGAAGCGTTCAAAATAAGTAGGAAAGCATCTTCTCGCCACATCTTTCAGCTCTTCCATATAGGCCTTCAGGTTCGAGGGATATAAGATGACCACTTCCTTTCGATTATGATGTCGTCTGACATGAACGGCCATTCCTTGACTTCGATGAGCTTGGTATCCACACTCATTGCAGGTCATTGCCCTCTGAACCATGTGCGTGTAGACGTGTTGAATGAGGTTCCAGCAGTGTAGTTGATCGGCATTGCCAAGACTTTTCGGCGAGTTGCACAATCCGCATACAGAAAACTGAATTTCGCCTTTCTTCGATAAAGGAAAGTCATTTGTTTCTTCAGCGAGTTCAGGCATTTCCATTGCCTAAAACAGTAAAATTGAACGGACAGGAAGGGCCTACCGAAGCCGTTTATTTTGGAATCCAGCTTAATCTTAGCAAAGTGTTGATGCAAGGTAATCAATACAAATAAGATGTTTCGAGCAATTAACAAAACACTTTAAAGATTTATTAAACCATTCAGCATATTTAAATAGCTTTTCGGTGCTTTCAAATCTTTTTTTTTCATTTGCGCAGAAGGAAAGCGTAGTCTGGCTTGTTGGTGAATCCGGTGTAGGTAATGGGTGGAATCGTGCCTAAAACGTAAAATGAAATTTCTCAACAGCATAAAAGTCTACCAAATACCGGCTCCCATGGTACATTCGAGGTCACCTTTGCTGTAGGCTTTGGTTGAAGGCATATAGTCGAACAATATGGAATCCTACAACAAAGAATAAATGAAAATTAACAAAGAAACTAACTTCCTGCTAATCTTGAAGAGATTTGAATGGGTAGATGGACGTGGCTTATCACGAAGCAATCCAACTCCCATATCCACCGTTGAAGCATGACCAACTACCTAAAATAAATAAAGTATTTTGTTATTTCTCAATCTGTAGATCATTTTTTTTAAATCCTTAAAAAACAAACCAAAACAATGAGTTCATTTTTGTTCTTGCCCGAGGTGCTTTCCGCTGTTGTGACGATCCGACGAAGAACTATTTTCATCCTTTCATTATAGTCCTCATTGCTTTCTCGCTTTTTATAAATCTAAAAGAGGCACAGTAATTGAACGTTTCTCAGAGAATACCTCATCAAATTCGTACTGGGGCATGTAGTAGGGATCGACGCCAAACAACGATTGCTGCTCTTCGGTGACTAACAGTGGCTTCGTGTCATAAAGTGACAAGTTCTCGAAGAGACCTGGCTCAACACGAATTAAAGCCTAAAGCAAGATGTTAAAAGACTTTAATGCAATTCAACCTCCGATCGAGATGCCGTGCGAATGAAACGCGCAGTCTGCAATGATCGCAACGCTGGAGATGAGTAGATCACATCTAAACGAGTCAAATCATAAGTGCTTAAAATCGACAAAAAACCTGGGGTATATCCTCGATAAAGAAATGCTCGGCCGCAAAGTTGAGCAATCACTCCACCGGTCCTCGTAAGCATTGGATCAAGACGATAATGGTCGACGGGACGGTTGACGGGTAATGTTGGTGGCTAAATATAAAAAGATTGAAAAATTTTCCAAAGAACCAATACCATGTTTAAATCAAAAGGTGTATAAGGCTTGGTGTCGTCGTTGAAATATTTCGTCCAATCGTGAAACATGTCATCCATTCGTTCGCTGTGGCGCATCACAAACATTGTGCTGGGGTAGTGCAGCACGCGGTTTCTAGAAGCAAAAAGTTAACCTCGAGCGTATGATCAAGAATTGATACCGCGTGGCGGCTGTTTGTCGTGCCATTCGCTCAAGATTCGTCGAACACATGTATGAGCCGATTGCTGACGTGAAATCATTGCCTGCTAAAAATAAAGCTATGAATGAGAAAAATATGTATTTATTATAGGCATTCAAGTGGATGCAATAGGTTGCTTTCGAGCAAACCAAGATTTGCAGTATGATTAAGCCAGTAATAAGAATCATCAATATTACCGCCGAAAGAATAAAACCATAGCTATGGTTCCATTTAAGCGCTTTACAATTATGTTGATACAATTACATGATGCACGCTTTACGATATGATACAAGTTCATGGCACTTGATACAAAAATCCTTACTTTTTAGTTCACTGATCAAACAAATCTAGAAAGTTATCAAAGTTATGAATAAAAGATCTCAAAACGCTCAAAAGGCTAACAAGTTTATCACAAAAAGCTCACCATTCGGATTTGAACAATGAGGGCAGCGGCAATTCTCGAAGATTGTCGTCGATGTCTTCTCTTTGTAGGCCATTGAGAAGCGATTGTTGCGAGTAGAAATGATGATTCCATCGTTTCACGCTCCCTTCAAAAGAACCATTAAATGCTAATTTTGGATTCTGCACAACCAAATTAAATATCAGTATCAGTGCAATCAATAAGTAACAACAAAGCTAGCTAAATTCTGGCCATGAATGAAAAAAAATCCTGTGAAGCACGAAGTATAAAGTGAGCTGGCTCTAATTGAAACCTTGAGATTCGAGCCGCAAAGATTGAGCCGAATGAATTTTCTATATATCCCCCCTAAGGCCAACCTTATATTAGGTGGCTACGTAGATACTTGCAATTTATTGAAAATTTAAAGATTCTCCAAGAGTACTGTGGTCTTTTCCAATCGTTTGTGGCCGCTTCAAAGCCAAGAATACCTTTCCGGCTTCCAGTTTCATGGTTTTTTCAGAACTACAGGCAAGAACTTTGGTTCTTGCCAACCTAAGAACTTGTTATAAGTTTGTTAGAAGAAATCTAGAAGTTAGATTTCTCTAAAAAATCATGAAACTGGGAATCTTAAGTTGAGAGAAAGCTTTTAAAAATTGAAAAAGTATTCAAAATTAAAAAATTAAAAAAAATCAGACTATTTTCGCGTGAGAAACTTAATAAAAACTTTTCTCTCAACTCTTTTATCATTTTATATAATCTTTTCCTTCGGGTGCGGATTTCGTTAGTAAATTTCAGGATTTTACTAACAAATTCCGCGCGCGATGTCTTATAAAGGCTAAATCTTAATAAAAATCGTTAAATTATTAAGAAAACCGCGCAGTCGTAAAAATTAGAGAAAATAAGACTATTTTCGCGTGGGAAACTTAATAAAACCGCTAAAAGGTTGTTAACAACCTCTAAAAGGTTGTTAACAACCACTAAAAGGTTGTTAACAACCTCTAAAAGCTTGTTAACAACCTCTAAAAGGTTGTTAACAAGCTTTGAAAGGTTGTTGAAAGGTTGTTAACAACCTTTCAACAGGCTTTCGGTATCGAAATGTTCATAAAAATATCAAAACAAAGAACACGTAGCCGCCCCGGCGAAATGTTCATAAAAATCTGAAAAAATAGAACATGTCGCCGCCCCGGCAACAAGTTCAATCAGATTTGCAACAATAAGATTTACATTTAATTTTCGGAAATTTACATTGAGGCGAGATATAAAATGGCCGTTGATGGTTTGTTAAATCATCTCATTCACTTCGCGATGAATCCACAACCTCAAGGGCATGAAGATCTCGTAAGTTTTTTATAATTTTTCTTTTGACCACTTTTACATTGGTTTTTTTTTGTTTGGAGATTAATATAAAAGACACTTGTTTGGTTACTCTTATAATTTGATGGTTCTATATACTATATTAGCTCCGCGTCAACGGTCCCGCTGCAGACAAGACTTTGCAAGATGGACAACCCGTGAGCTTTCATTCACTTTTTCTTATTAGATATATTTAAACTTAGGTTTACTGCATTTGGGTTGGTAACCCAGTGACTGTGGAACTAGTGCTCGATTTAAGCATCCGGTTTCTTCACATCAAGGTTAGATTTATGTCATTTCACTTTTATTTTGAGAAATTTTAAAGGCTTTTGTTTTGTCTATCTTCAAAATTATGAATTTGAATTGATTAAGTTTTGAAAATAAGAAATTTCAAATCATATTCAAATTTTACTTTTAGATTGGCATGGAAACCTCGGCAGATGGATGGTTTTTCTCACGATGCTCCCATGATCCATGCTGCGATTCAACCTGTGAGGGATCAGTCATCATCATTCCATCCATCGATGAATTCGTCATGGAAGGCAATGAATTGAAATTGATTAAAGTCGAGTGTTCTGCTTCAGGTAAAATTTTGAATTGATAATTTAATATTATTAGAGAGCGACAGAGACGTAAATTAAAGTTAATTTTTTTATTTAGTTGCGGCGGGCCAGTACCACGTTGTTTTTTCGGGAAACGATCAGAATGGGGTTCGTTCTCTTAATTAAATATTTGAGTGTTGGACTATTTAATTTTTAAATTTTCTGATAATTTGTTGTTTAAGCATTCAGTTGAGCGTGAGGTCGTTTTCGAGGTGGTGTTGAAGCCGTCTCGTCGTGCGACCATCTTGCTTCCATCGATTCCAGTTGAAGCCTCTCCCGCTGGTTTTTTGTTATCTTTTTTTAATATAAATATTTTTTAGGCCAGCCCCAACCCATCACTGCCGGACGAATGGGACCCTTCGTTGCTCCAAGGCTTAGTGATCAACTCCGTAATCCCCTCGCCTCCTCAACTATCACACCGCCGATCAATGAATTGGAAAGAAGCGAGAGAAAAAATTTGTTTTGTAATAAAGGTGGAGGAGGCTGTATCTTTGGTCACAACAAAATTATATCTTTGATTATAACAAAATTATATATAAAAGTTTCAAGTCTATACGGATACAAAACACAAAATTCGCGCAACATATTGACGGTTGTTGTTCAGCTTGGTTGGATTTAATCTTTTCTTGACTAGCTATAAACTTATTCAACTTAATGCGAAAAACTCTCGAACTTTTCAACGAATCTTATAGAAGAAAAAAGAAAATTTCAAGATGGTAGTGAGAGAACAAATTCCACTCTAACTTCCGCTTATGATAACGGCATAGTGAAGTTATTAATCTGGTTACAAACCACTTTTCTTTTTTTCTTTGCCTTTTCAGTACTGAAAGCCTTTTCAATACCGAAAGCCTTTTCAGCACCGAAAGCCTTTTCAGTAAGGAAAATAAACACTAATCAAAGCTTTTCAGTACGGAAAGCAATACAGTAATCACTGAAAAGCTTTGATTGAAAAGTACTGAAAATGTACTGAAAAGCTTTGATGAGTCTGATAATAAGTTTTACAGTACTCTTGAATACTTCAATATTAAGAGTCCGATACCGGACTCTTATATTAAGAATAATATTAAGACTCCTGTAGCGGAGTCTTGTCTTATGGGTAATACAGAGTAATATTAAGACTCCGGTACCGTAGTCTTGTATTAATTAGAGATCTATTATAATACAGCTTAAGTAATAGAGACCTGTTATAATTTAAAGAAGCGTCAGAGAAATCCCTCAGCACTGAAAGCCCCTCCGTACTTTCGAGCTTTCTAAGTTCAGAAAGCCCTTGATTATTGAAGGGTTTAGTACCCACTAGGTCACACATTCTAGGATGAAAGCATTTCCATCCTAGGATGCCCTCATCCTAGGATTTGGACGTCACATTTCACCCAAATCTTATTTGACATCAACAACCTCCCCACGTTTATTATAAACGGAGCCGGATTTGAGGTCAACTTTGGAGAACAAAGATGAAATTCGACTTTAGTAGCCTGTGTATTACCTTCATTACTGAAGACTTTTAAGCAATTCCAGAGGCCATTACAATCTTGTTTGCAAGTTGTTGTTTTTTTCCATATTTTTCTTTACATTTTCACAATTATTGGGTTGATGCATAATTATCCGGACTTCTTTTTGCGTGCTTGTATCTTTTTTGTTTTGAAAGCTTTTTGTCTATTTCTTTTTTTTAAATATTCGTTATTCTTTCGTGAACAAAATGCGTGTCGACAATCATATCCATCTTCGCCATATCATGCTCTACCACTTCGAAAAGGGATGGTCTGCCGCAGAGTCGTTTCGCGATCTCAAAGAACTGGAGAAGCCCCAACGGACTACCACGTCAATTGATCGCTCAAAAATTGGCAAACAAATAAGATCTACAACGATTTGGATGACTTGATAGACGATGTTAAAGCGTGGATTGCCTCCAAAGATCGTTTATTCTTCGCTCGTGGAATCGATCGATGTTATTTTTTGTTAAATAAAATCATTTATAAAAGAAGTCCGGATAATTATGCATCAACCCAATACATTTTGTTTACTTATATTGTTTTTATCGTTTAAAGTGTAGTTTCATCAATTTGTTTACTTAACCAATTATTTTATTGTTTATGATTATTTTCATTCAGGATAAAGTTGCCGTTATTTAAATAAAGGTCTTTGAATTAAATTTACCTTAACACTTTAAATCTTAAAATACAGAAAAACCTTTTTGAACAAAGGTAGTGCTGATGGACTCTTCTAACTTGCCAGAGTTAAAAATTTCTAGAAAATGACTAAAAACCTTTTAAAAACATGACACCCTATCGTGAAATAATGTTTCAATCCAAATTGGATGCAACATATATTAGGTTGATGCAAAAGTCTTTTTCATTTTTTTCGTACTTCCGTTAAAAAGTAACAAATGCACCAATTGAACAACGGTTTATTGCATTCGAAAGGCCAATTATTTTTCTGCAAAATGACATTAAAACGAGTTTAAAATGTCTTATGTCTAGATTTTTTTGAGAGCCTGAAGTCGGGTAGTCAAAAAAAGGCGACGGCTCGATGATGCATTTTAGACGCTTTAGCTAAGGAAACCAATCTTGATGTTAATAAATAAAAGATAGAGCACAAAAAGTTCGATATTTTTTCAGATTTTCAGAGAAATTGATTCAGCCAATTTCTTTATAGAGGTTTTTATAGATTTTTATGAAAAACCCGTTTTCACTCTCGAATTTGCTTGAAAGTGAACCCAAATTGACTTAAAAAGATGGGAAATTCAACAATAAACACTTTTCATTTAGAGTAAACCATAGGTTAATTGATGACTTTGTTATTTTTCAAAAGAAGTACGAAAAAAATGAAAAAGACTTTTGCATCAACCTAATAGTAAAGTAAAATAAAGTAAAGTAAAGTAGAGTAAAGTAAAGTAGAAGAGAAAAAAGTAAAGCAAAGCAAAGTAAAGCAAAGAAAAGTAAAGCAAAGCAAGGTAAAGTAAAGCAAAGTAAAGTACTAACACTCAGTATGAAAGCGAAAGCTCAGAAATTATGATAATGTTTCAATCCAAATTGGATGCAACATATATATAGATGATCTTTTCAAAGTTTCGAGCGAATTTCGTTTAAAATCTTTATAAAAACTTTTATGAAATTAAATGACAAAAAAACACTTCATTAAAGTACATCGTTCATGGCGGATATTTAAATTAAAATAAAACGCAAGTGGAGGACGATAAAAAAAGTTGCTGGCGATAAAACAAACTAGGAACCCATTGAGCAAATGCAAGTCGATTGTCAAGTAAACGAAGATTACTAACTAGTTGTTGATATCTTGGATCGTTGGAGTTCAGATGAGTTCCAAAAAAATCTATTCTGAATTCTCCACTAAAATCCTTGTTCTTTAATAGGAAATTCATACAATTTATGTAATCCTCCCAAATTCCGAAAGAGCTCATAAATGATCCGTTTTCCGCCATTGACAATAGATTATCTTTTAGGAGAACAAAAGGAATATATACTAAATGGATTTTTCGACAAACGGACCAGCGATTTTTCATGAATTGTAGTATTTTATGATTAATTTCATCTTGATAATAAGAATCGTAATCCTGGGAATCAAAATGGATATAAACCCTGTCCATTATTTTAATGAAACTAAACTTTGTGAGTAAAAAAGCAAAAAGTTTTAAGTCGCTGGAACAGATGTTAGGCGGGTGAGATGAGTATGTGGATCCAAGACTAAACTTACGCAAGGAATTCTTCTTCAAATCGCATGGCAAGAGTTGACTGACATTAATTTTTTGGCAATTACGGTTGCTTGATCGATAATAAGTTATAAAAAGATCAGCAAAATTTGAGAGCTTTCGAAAAAATCGCGTTTGATTTTGATTTATTTGTATTTTTATTGAATTGTGGTAGGCACTTAGCTGGGGGACTTTTTGATCGCCTACGATAAAAAATGACTTAATCGAGCGACAGGTGATACAAATCCAAATATTATCGGCCACAATTTTAGCATAATTCTCCTCGATGCTTGGATTGTAAAGGCACACATGAATAGATTCAAGTTTTAAAAAAATCGGTCCATGAAATAAAACGAATAAACGAAGAGCCTGGTTTACTTTAAGCAAATGAAGTACCTCGGAGATCGATAATGTTTGCAAAATAAGTCTTCTCAGTCGTGATGGTAAAAGATTAAAAGTTTGGAAAGCTAGCATTTTACTTTCCAAGGTTCAAATAAAATATATGTGATATGTATCGTCAAAATTATGGCAAGTTTTTGAATATACAGATCTTAGAAAGGGAAAAAGTCATTGTAATTGCCATGAAATTTTACTTTCTTTTAGTTGAACAGATGTTCACTCGGATCAACTCGACTCGCATCCCCGTGGGATTACTCTTAGTAATTCACTCTCTTTTACTAAGAGTCTCCCCGTGGGACTCTGGTATCGGAGTTTTTGAAGCCGAATTGTCTATCGGATGTTCGACTCGGGATTGGACGCTGTTTGGTGCGCTTGGGAAAATTAGATAAGTTAGCGAGGTTTGTGTTATTGACATAATGGTAACTTTGGCGTGTATGTAAAGTCGGTCTTCGTATGTAAAGTCGATTAATCAATAGACAATTTAAACTTCCTATTGCTCGGTGGGCAATTTCTTAATAAAAGGAGCTAAATTATTAAGAAATTGCCCAATGCACAATTTCTTAATAAAAGGGGCTAGATTATTAAGAGATTGCCCGATGGGCAAGCGCGCGATTTTTGCTCTAATTGTTTCGATTTTTAGAACAAAAATCGCGCAGTCGGTCTTCGTATGTAAAGTCGACTAACAAATAGCATTTAAACTTCCTATTTATAAACTTTTTATTGCCCGGCGGGCAATTTCTTAATAAAAGCACCTAGGTTATTAAGAAATTGCCCACCGAACAGTAGAAAGTTTATCAATAGAAAGTTTAAATGCTATTTGTTAGTCGACTTTACATACGAAGACCGACTGTACGAATTAAAAATTAAAGAAAATGAGACTATTTTCGGAATCTACACATACGATCCCCTTCCATGAAAACATTTTTGAAGCTCTACGACCTTTCCTAAAGCCTTTTCCAGCAAAAAAAAGGTGCGCAAATGTCCGGGTGCGCAAAAAAAGGTAGCATTTGTCCCACCCCCATAAAATGCAACCAAAATAAAATTCAACTCAAATAAATGAATCTCGTGCAAGTATTTGATTTTGTTAGTATCGTCTCCGATTGTGCATGTTCGTCTAGTTCGGGTCAGTTTGATTTAATATATACAGTTGCTTTCTAACGTACCCCGTTTTCTATTGGGTTGATGGAAAAGTCCTTTCCGATTTTTTGGGAGAGTACCTTAAATTTGTCGAATTTTGACGTTTTATAGCTCATCCTAAAGCTGAATTCAAGACGGATCGATTGGTAAAAACCGTTTTGGTTGGTAAAAACCGATTGGTAAAAACCAAAAACGAGAAAAACGAAGGAAAATCGCGAAAAGCGGCGGAAAGGCTATTGATCTGAGGGTCGCTGGTTCGACTTCCACCGGTGACAATATTTTTCAAAAATTTTTTGCTAAGCCTCTGAAAATGCGTGTCTAGGGGTTATTTTGGACGCTGATCACGAATAACATGTTTTTAGCCTAGGTTTCTGCACGGAAAACCAACGAAACGTGAAAACAGCCATTTTTTGGCTCTGCCGCCCTTTACTAAAATAGCTGTAAAGACTTTTAAAAAAGATATCTCATATCTCATATCTAGAGATATCTCAAAACGGTTTTTACCAATCGATCCTTCTTGAATTCAGCTTTAGGATGAGCTATAAAACGTCAAAATTCGACAAATTTAAGGTACTCTCCCAAAAAATCGGAAAGGACTTTTCCATCAACCCAATACTATGAATAGTAATGTCGCTTAGCATTTTTCTTTTATTTATCACTACGTTCATTTTTCCAAAAAAATAGGATTATCTTTATGATTATGATTTGAGGACAAAGAGCAGGACAAAGATCTTTATGATTTGAGTATTGATTCACACAATATTTATTCAATTTCTCTTGCAAAAGTTTACGAAATGAGATTCACTAGAAAAGTGGCGTCAAGTTAGCGCTCGTGCTTCAGAAAATCCTCTGGATGACCTTTCATGCTGAAAAATGAAATTTATAGAAAAGATACGGGATAGGCTAATTTCCGCCATTTTATTTGCGCAACAGGGTCATTTGCGCAACGAGGTCATTTGCGCAACTCGCCATAACTTTCTTCTACGTCGACCAATCTTTATGATTTTGGTTTCATTTTGTAGAGCTGAATAAGTGTAACAAAATGACACCAAAATCATAAAGATTGGCTTATTAAGAAGAAAGTTATGGCGAGTTGCGCAAAAGACCCTGTTGCGCAAATAAAATGGCGGAAATTAGCCTATCCCAAAGATAGATTAATATTTTAATATTCATACAATTTTATGTTTTAAATAAAACTTATGAAATGATAGTT